AGGCCTCACTTCAGTAGGAGATATGTAGATATATCCAAAGTCTCATTTGTTTATTATAACACCAACCACATCTATGCCAATATGGATAGTGAAATAGCAATCTGTGGTCTCTTTCACATTCTGAGAGTTCACAGGTTTTGGAACATAGGTGAGGTGATAGCATCTAAGGGGAAAATCAGGAAGAATAAATAGTTGTCCTGATTTGTATCAATTTTCTATTTCATACTTAAATTTTTCAATGAACACACCTCAAAATTTCATGTAGCAGTAAGTTCACCAACACCTCAAGTAGCAACTCCATCTCCTAAATTTCCTCTCTTCCCATAGCCCAGCTGTAAGAAAGGGAACCACTCCCTTCCTGGTTGCTCTTTCCACATATCCTTTCCAAGGCCAACCAACCTCAAGGAATCAGACAGGCTGAGTGATGTCATTTAAAGGAGACTCCTTTTCACTCAGGGTGAAGGAGATCTTGCATAGGTTTTCCTAAATCATCAGGACACTTTCTGTCAGTTCAAACTATGCAGAAGTTATAGGAGTAAGAAAGTTATACTGATTAATTTATGATATGTCCTTACAATGCCTGTCTTAATGATTATCCATGTTCTGAAACTTGTCAGATAAATAAGTTATACTTGATTATAACATTTAACTCTGTATATACTTAGTCCTCACAGCTCAGTCATCATGGTTATCAGCTTAAAACTCTAAAAAAGGGACCAAAAGCAGCTAGAGTGATCTCTAAAAATGTAAACCAATCCTGTGACAGTCCTCTACTTAAAAACTTGCAGTGTTTTCTCAATGCACTTGACATAAAAACCAAACTTTTTGTCCTGACTAACAAGGCCATATATGATCTAGCCCTGTTTCCTTCTTAAAGCTCTACTGTTCAATAATATAGCCTAAAGTCCGAGTACAGCGACTAACACAATGCAGGCGATCTGTAAATATTTGCTGAATGAATGAATGGCTATCACCTGATAATTTTTCTGTGTTACTAACTACATCTGGAAGGAATGGACTTGTATCAGCTTCAAAATGGCATCCATTTATTCTAGAGAGATCAGAAACAAATAGCTTACTGCCATGCTTGCTCAAAAGGCTCAGAACAAAGTACAAGAGGTTATAAATGACATTTCCCAAGTGTGCACCTAAGGACACTAGTGCCACAGATATTTCTTTATAATGGAGTTCAAGTGTCACATGTGTACATCTAGCTGCCTATGCAACATCTCCATTTGGATGACTAAGAGATGTCTCAAGTTTAGCAGTCCCAAACTGATTTCACGTTCATCCACTCAGTAAACGGCAATACATACTTCTAGTAGATCTGACCAAACACCTCAAAGTTTTTTTCCTGATCACTAATTCTCACATTCTCATCAAATTCATTAGCTAATCTTGTTGACTCTACCTTCAGAATATATCCAGAATCCCAGCACTTCACACATCTTCACTGAAACCACAGTGGCCCAAGCTACTATTTTTTGTTCCCCTGGTTTGTTACCATTGCCTCCTCACTAGTTTCCTCACTTCCATCCCTGGCCCTCCCACTTCAATGTACTCTCAACACAGCAGTCAGATAGATCCTTCTGTTAAGTCAGATATGCCACACCTGTGCTGAAAGTTCCCCATGGTTTCCCATCTCACTCAGAATTAAAACCAGTCTTTTCAATGGTTTGTATTGCCTTGCATGAACTGGCTCCTGGTAACCTTTCTATCTTCAATGTCTATCACTCTGCTTCAGAAAGAACATGCAAAACAGGCTCAGACCTCAGGGTCTTTGCATTTGCTGTTCCTCTATTTGACCAGTAAGGCCTTTCTCTGACTATCCTACATAAAATAACAAACCAGGGCTGCCTGGGCGGCTCTGTTAAGTGTCAGACTTCTGTTCAAGTCATGATCTCAAGGTTCATGGGTTTAAGCCCTGCATCAGGCTCTGTGCTGACAGCTCAGAGCCTGGAGTCTGCTTTGGATTCTTCGTCTCCTCCTCTCTCTGTCCCTCCCCTTCTCTCTCTCTCCCTCTCTCTCAAAAGTAAATAAACATTAAAAAGTAAATAAAATAACAAACCAACCCCAAGTCCACACCCAGTTTTCTCCAGCCCCCTTCATTAGTTTCATTTTTCTTTATAGTTTGTATCCCTACCTATCACAATATATGCTTAATATATTTGCTTATTGCCTATTTTCTCTGTCCCAAATATAAGCTCTACAGGGGCAGGGGCCTTATTTTGTTTTTGTTACTGTTTCCCTAGTACAAAGCCTGATGAAATAAGTCATGTGTGTGAATGTGAGTGTCTGTACGTTTTGAGGGGTGCAAGGGAGGGACAAGAAGATGGGCTATGGAGTAAGAACCTCCTATAAAATACTTGAGAAACTATTCCTTGGAATGCAATTTGGGAAACTCTGGTCTAGATGTTTTATTTATTTATTTTTAAATGTTTTTCATTATTATTGAGAGACAGAGACAGAGCATGAGCATGGAGGAGCAGAGAGAGAGAGGAGACACAGAATTCGAAGGAGGCTCCAGGATCTGAGTTGTCAGCACAGACCCCGACGTGGGGCTCAAACTCACAAACTGTGATATCATGGCCTGAGCCAAAGTCAGATGCCTAACCAACTGAGCCACCCAGGTGCTCCTAGATGTTTTAGAATTAAAGCAAAGTCAGAACTTGTAGCTTTCTGTCTCTATGACCTTTGGCTCATAAAACAGAAATACTTTAACAAGTAAAGGATGAAATTATTCAATAGTTAAAATACTAAATTATATTCTAATGAAACTGGCCATTCTTAAAATCTAATTTTATAACAGCTTTAAAAGATGAGCATGGTGAAGTGAAAAAGAACAAAAGTGTTGTTTTTGTATTGTTCAAATTATCTTTCTGAGCCTGAGACTCATCTAGGGAATACTCACCTGGGGTCCTCCTGGCAGAACTGAATACAATCACTTGCTTAATACCTCAGACTGACTGCAGGTTTATAGTTAAACACTCAATAGTCATGCAAGAAATACTGTAGTTCTATTTCAACTTCTAAAAAGCACAAATCGTGTTATATATTTTTCACCACAATGTCAAATTTTTAGGAATTCTGGATTTCTCACTTCTTCAGAGCCTGATCCTGATCTCTGTTCTACAACCACTGTCCTACTGTCATGAAATGAGCCCACCTAGACCAGAGTGGCAGAAAATGTCTTTAGAATTGGTAAGGTTATTAGATATCTAGACCTGCAACTTTCACTGGGGAATAGGAAGGAATTTCCAGAATGAAAAGGAAAAGATTAGGTAATGTTTAAAAAAGACATTTACTATTATAATTTCATATTTCATAGTGGAAACAATAAGAGAAAGGAAAGCCCAGCATCATTTTCTTGGCTGATGAGTCTGTACTAAAGATATGATGATTCAACCAAAGGAATATCTCATTGAAGTGCTGTGACATCTTTATGTTGATCAAAAGGAGTTAAAAGCTTTTTCTGAGAAACCCTTATCTAGACCTACCTACTCGAAATGTTTACAGGTTAAAAACCAAAAAAAATGAAATCCCAAAAACTTGACAGTGTCCACATCAGAGAGCTGGGAAATGGCTCAAAGTGGACTTAAAGACAGATCCTTCTAACCTGTAGTCCTAACTCTCAATATATTATACATGGACTATGATCAATGAAGAATTAACTGTGTGCCAGGTGACAAAATGATCCCCCCATTCAATAAAAATCACTGAAGTACACCGAAACAAAGGTTTAATACTTGAGCTCTTTACTGTCAAATATTCGCCTTTGCCCCCCACACCCATATCTAAGAAGGCATATCTCTTTAGCATTTAATAAAGGCTTCCTTTCCATAAAATTACATCTATATTTACAAGTCTTGCCAGCTCAGGTGTACTGAACCCACTTCGGAGACAAAAAAACCTAGCTTAGGTGAACTTAGATGACCTGTTCATGATCATTAAAATTAGTGGCATTGGAATTCGACTCGGCCTAACTCCAAAGCTTCTTCCACTACACCAAGCAGCCCTTGCACCCCTCACCCTCCACCCCTTCACCGACAGAAAAAGAGAACTCGTGGAATTTACAGGAAAAAAAGGCGATGCTTTTCCAATTTTGGGGGGCCATATTTAACCTGCCTAATAACCTGTAGGTAACAGAGTTAACAGAAATAAAATAAATCGCTATAAAGTGGGTGCAAGATTATTATTTAGCACTCCTGGCGAAGACCTTGTTTCAACTGTACGTACTGAAAAATAATTTCACAATTTAAATTTAACATTTTTACAAACTGCTTGGAAAATCGGGGGACTGTGCCCCCAAGTGGTCAGACCGGGCCCATCACTGGAGAGCGCTACTTGTTCAACTGGTGCAAAGCCAAACCGGCAACGTTGCAATTTTCCTGCAGTCTTCGAGAGCTGCAAAAGCTCCGGATTCACCCAGAGCCTGGGAGCCCGCCCCCGCCCTCGCCCTCGCCCAGGAAAACTAGGCGCATGCGCCTATCCGGCGGCCACCACCGCCTGGTGGCGCCAGTGCCCCCCACACCCGTTTCACCCGCTCAGCCCGCTCTTTCGAATACCTTTGTCTAATTCCATAAGGGCAGAGTTAGCATCCAGCTCCTGTTCGCCATAGCCGGCATCTGCCAGGAAAGACTTAGTTGAGTTTGACGCCATGACCCGAATAATCACGCGACTAGGCTATTTAAAAAGATTGCAAACTCTGCCCCAGCACCGCCATCTTCTTCCACCACCTCGCGGATTTTTCCTCCGCGCTATGTCAAGCCCTGTTACGCATGCGCCCTGGTCTCCCCGCCGTTCGCCAGCGCCTCTGCGGCCCCCCGCGCAGGCGCTCAGGGAGCTCCAGAACTCTGGGTTCCCGCGGCTTGGAGAAAAAGAGGCGGGGATTGGAAGGGGGAAGTGACTCGGAGGCGCCCGGACGCCGCGGCGAGAGCCAATCAGAGGGCGTGACGTCAGTTTGGCGGGGAGTTTGGTGGCCGGGGCTTACAGTGGCGGGAGTTGGAGGCAATAACTAGTCGTGTTCTGAGGGGCGCAAGCTACGATTTCTGCTGAACCTAGGGGCCATTTCCGCGGCTTTTCCTTCAGTTGAACCTTTTCCTCTGGCCCAGATGCTCTTCAATTCGGTGCTCCGCCAGCCCCAGTTCGGCGTCCCAAGAAATGGTGAGTAACGGCCCTAACCGCTACTTGTTGCTGGCGGGCTTCACCTCCCCCGAACAACACGGCGCACCAAGGCCGACTCCAACTCTGTTTCCCAGCCCCCGAGTTCTCTCAAGGCCAAAGTGAGTTCTTGTTAGTGAGAACTACTGAAGAAAGCTGCACTTTTATGCCTTTGGGACACTTTTAATCGTAATCGGGAGTTTTTAAATTGCAATACGGGCCGACGGAGGGACGAAAGTTGAATCGGCTGGCCTTCTTTACGGCTTCTGTCTGTATTGCACATTAACTGGACAATGCGTGCATTTGAATGTGTGTGTGTGTGCAGTTTAACAGTTTTGTGAGATCTTCAAGACTCATATTCACGGATTCATTTGTTAATTCATTGATTCATTTGCTGTGGAACTTTAGTGAGCCCAACTGTTTGCTGTATACGCTGGTGAATATGATTCGCTATTAAGGAACGCAGTCAAGCAGAGAAGACAGAACATCTGCTTCTAGCATGGTCAAAAAAATGTTCCCCCATGTGCATGAAAATTCGAAATTACACAGTGAAAAATGCCCATAACCACATCCCACAGAGATCATCACTGATAGTAGATTAAAGTATATTATTCCAAATGATTTTCGGAATGCCAGTGTAGTATGTATTGTTATATACAGAAATGGGATTTAAATGCTTTGTTTCGTTTTCAGGTATAGCGGTATAACTTGGGGATGTTTCTGTGTTAGTAGTATGTAGAAATCCAACTTATTCGTTACAGTTGTTGAGGTTCCTTAGGTTAAAACATTGGCAATAGGAGTTTTGAGCTCAGGTTTGAGTGTCATCAACCTGAAACTTTCTGTTAAGTTTTTGACCAGGGAGTTACTAGGCAGACTAAGGTTGGATGCAAATGAAATCTCATTCATTTAAAAATGGTCTTCTTTCCCCTTGACACCATGTGGAAAACAAAAAGAAAAGAATATGAGAAGGGGACCTTTTATATTAAGGCAAGGGTCTAGGAAAAGGATATTGAGAAGTAGATTGAGGAATAGTCCCTCAGTTTCCTGTCCCCATTCTGAACTTTGTACCATCCTTACCTACTTCCACCTTGTATATTCTTTCTGATGGTACTCTAAATGTCCTCTGTCTGTCTCTCCTGGGACCTTGCTTAAGTAACTTCTTTGTGCCTTGTGTCCTGAGTGGCAGTACTGCGCAGTAGGTAAGAGCTCTGTCTTTGGAGTTAAACTGCCTGAGGTTTAATTCTAGCACAAGTCCTTACTATCTGTGAGACCTGGCAAGCTGTTTATATTTAGCTTCTATTTTGTAATTAAAGTTTTTCCTAATTCTCCAGTAGATCTGTCTACTTCCCCTCTCTTTCTCATTCACAGAAACTCATGTATCATATGTTAGACACTGAAATTCATTCATTGTTATATACTATGCATAGAATTTTATAGGACCATCTTTTTTCCCCTTCCATGTTGATGTTCAATGCTAGGCCCCTTTTCTCCTTCTGCCTACTCCCATGAATGTTGATCATATCCACAACCAGGACTTCTTCCTCTACTACCTTCAATCGTCCATTCCCTATACTTTACATCCATTCCTATAAAAGCTGTGTGAGTATCTTCGCCCAGCAGGTCAGTCTCACAAACATCTCAGACTCCAGTACTCAAAACTGAACTCCGTTTTTCCTCAAACCTGCTCTGCTACCTACTTTAGGGAGTGGTCCCATTATTTTATTTTATTTATTTTATTTTTTTTTTACAAATAGTTTATTGTCAAATTAGTTTCCACATAACACCCAGTGCTCATCCCCACAAGTGCCCTCCTCCATGCCCATCCCCCCTCCCGCCCACATCCATCAGTCCTCAGTTTTTGTCAGCATTCAAGAGTCTCTCATGGTTTGCCTCTCTCCCTTTCCCCCACCATTTCCCCCCTTCTTCTCCCCCTTGCTCCTCGGTTAAGTTCCTCCTAATCCTCCTATACGTGCAAACATAAGATATTTGTCCTTCTCTGCCTGACTTATTTCGCTCAGCATAACACCCTCAGGGTCCATCCATGTTGCTACACATGGCCAGATTTCATTGTTTCTCATTGCCATGTAGTATTCCATGGTATAGATAAACCACATCTTCTTGATCCATTCGTCCGTTGATGGACACTTAGGCTCTTTCCATGTTTTAGCTATTGTTGAGAGTGCTGCTATGAACCCATTATTTTAAACTAGTCTTCCTAGCCAGAAACTTGAGTCATTCAAAAATTCCTCTTTTTTCCACAAAATACAGAAAGTTCCCTTAAAACCTCTTGAATCTGTCCTCTCTGTTCCCACTGATTTTACCTCATCAGTATATCTTGATGTGTTCTATACTTACCATTTTATTTCCATTGGGTCCTAATAAATTCTTGTCTATACAATAACAAGTTTCCTAAATGGTCTCTTAGTTTCTGTCTCCAGTTTATTCTCCACATTGCTGCTAACAGTCTTTCTAAAGTGGAAATCTGATTACTCCTTTATTTTTAAATTGTTATCTAAAAGTTTTTATCATAGGTTTAAACTTACTGAAATTTTAAAATAAAAAATCGAAATGTATCTAATGGAATATAAAGATTAGTGATTTGATGATCACATCAATCATTTTTTTTTAAATATGAACAAACTCTTTAACTGCCAGATTTTGTATGTACAGTTGAACCTTGAACAACATGGAGGTTAGAGTCACCAACGCCACACAGTCAAAAATCTACCTATAATGTTTGACTCCCCCAAAGCTTTACTAATAGCCAGCCTCCTGTTAACTGGAAGGAAGCTTTACCAATAACATAGTCAGTTAACACATAATTTCTATGTTCCACATATTATACACTATATTTTTTTCAGTAAAGCTAGAGAAAAGAAGATCTTATTAAGAAAATTATAAGGAAGATTTGATGGCTGTTCCTCTCACTGCTTGGAGCCTTAGGTAGTGGGATTTTAGTCCATCATAAATGTAAACTGACTTGTCTTCACTCAGGGCACCATGGGGATGGGTTGGCTGTCCGTTAGTGTCTTCTGATTTTTGTGGAGTCAAACAATTTAAAAAAAAAAAAAAAAGAAAGAAAATTATAAGGAAGAGAAAATCTGATTACCTTACTATGTTTGTCAAAAAAAAAAAAAACCCACATGTAAGGGGACTCGAACCTGTGTTCAAGGTCAGCTATAGTTGCTTTTTCCCCTTGATTTTATTTCCACTTTCTTTCACAGGATTTATCCTAATGTAATTTGATTCTAGGCTTGAAAAGTTATTTTTTTGATCGCAGTGTCAAAATTTTCTGTAATCATAAAACACTAAGTGTCAAGAGTTTCTTCTGAATTGTTACAGTTATTCATATCCAAGTGATCAAAACAATATGGACTATTAATTTTGGTAAATAATTATGAGGCCAAAAGTAAAATTTAATTGAAAGTATGTCTTTTAAAGAGATGGATTTAGCTATTTATGATGCCTTTATTAAAGGAATTATCCTGGGGCGCCTGGGTGGCTTAGTCGGTTAAGCGTCCGACTTTCGCTTAGGTCATGATCTCGCGGTTCGTGGGTTCGAGCCCCGCGTCGGGCTCTGTGCTGACTGCCAGCTCAGAGCCTGGAGCCTGTTTCAGTCTGTGACTCCCTCTCTCTCTGACCCTCCCCTGCTCACGCTGTCTCTCTCTCTCTCCTAGAAATAAAAAAAAATAAAATAAAGGAATTATCCTATTGTCTCTTAGTTGGAGTCCCATAAGTTTTTATACTTTGGATCAAACAAGGTTTAAGAATGGGACATGGAAAGGCTTCCTTTTGAGAAGTGGAAAAAAGACAGTGATGAAGGGAGAGGAGGGCAAAGAGCCACAACCTTCTCAGACAGATCAGTTACAGAAATGCACATATATCAAATGATTCTCTGAAAACCTTCATGTCCTTAAATACTCCTTGAAAAATTGGCACCTAATTCTAGGGGCTTAAATTGTACATCAAGGGAAGAATAGCCTTTTCCAAGTGAGTGTTATGGGGGAAAGAACTATATATTCATGTTGGAAACTTTTGCAAAGCACGAGGATCCAACGACAGTTGGTTAAGAGACCTGTCTACAATGTGTGTTATAGGGAGTGAAGAAATGGAAGGAATGGGGGATAAGGACAAGTTACCAAGCCCTATTAGGCCTTTTGTTGGTGTTTGGATATTAGTCAATGGGCAGTGAGGTAGAGTTTGAAGGAGTCCCCGTGTAATTCCAGAGAATTAGATCTCCAGAGCTTATCCTGTTCAGTTCCGCCTAAATTGTTCAAGACTTGGTCCTTTTGACTTTGTGTGTTGCAATCATTAGATTATTATATTTTTTAACTCCCAAACCACAAGTGTACATTTACATAACTTTAGAACACAGGTTTTTATTTTAAAATTCATTCTGTAAATGGATATTTATGAACTTTACAACATAAATATTGTATTCTTCCTTTAGTGGTCTATTAATGGCTTGTTTACCCTGATACCTGACCTAGAGGTAATACCCCCAGGAATAAAGACTAAATCTGGGTTGTATTCTTTGGATTGTATTCTTTCTTCTTTTGTACGGATTCCTTCAGGTTATCTCTAGGAACACCAAAGCTAGATGTGTCTGAGGTATGTCAGACTAAGAGGTCTTCTACAAACAGTATTTTTGATGAAAAGTGGGAATTGAAAGTACCCTAAAATGTAAGAGAGTTTATTAATTATTTAGATAGCTCTCAACAGAATGTAATTTCATTGTCCTCTGGTGCTTTATAAACATTTAGTTCTCAGTAACCATTTATTAAATGTTTCTTTTAAATATTTAAAATGTTATTGACCCCTATAGCTAAATGATAAATCTTTGAAGATTGCTTACTACTTACTTAGGACCATAGTACACGTTATATCTCTGACCCAAGTAGAATAAATTCTCCCTCTACCCTAAATTTCTTCCTCTCTCTTGTATATTCAGTGAAAATTTACTCACCTCTCAACTTTGATTTCACCTCCTCTAAAGACTACCCTGACCCCACAAGTAGCCAGGGCTGAACTGACTGTACCCTAGGGGTAGGTACATGATGCCTCACATGAAAACTGCTCTAATATACTTGAAGATACTGTGACTTGTTGCTGTTAAGATTTTAGAATCCTAGAATTTTAGCATTGGTAAGCAAAGAGGAAGTGGAATTAGAATTTACTTGTGAATATGTTAGTGGCTAGGAAGGCACATTTACCTACATTATTTCCTTTAACTCTTTGACCATTGGCTTATGTATGACATATCTAGTAATTTAAGAGTTTGCAGTAATGTTGATTTAGAAACTCTGGAACCAAAATTTTAATTGAAGAGAAGGGCAGTTTTAATGGTTTTGGTAGTCTTTGTGGTTGTGTTTTGTCATTGTCACCAAAGAGCATTGGAGAGGTAAGGTCTTTTTTAAATGTGCAAAGGCCACTTGTTTCTTAAAATCTTCAGTGTACAAACAAGAGTCTCCATTGAAGATGGATTAATATTCCACTTAAGCCCAAAGCTGTACCTCACCAGAAGTTGAGAATGCTCTTTCATCTCTACCTTTCAACCTCAGGATCCCTTAAGAAAATATCAAAAACTGCATTCTAAAGGATCCTGGATAGTGAGTGGATTTGTATAAAGTATGTAAAGCTTTTAAAAACAGATATTTACCTCTGTGCTTGTTAAAAGTACTGATATGTGGTGATATTGGAATTCTATAAGGAATTATGTCTTACTTTAGGATGGTCTTCACAGTACCCTCTACAGTCCCTTCTAACTGGTTATCAGTGCAACTGTAATGATGAACACACTTCTTATGGAGAAACAGGAGCCCCAGTTCCTCCTTTTGGATGTACCTTCTCTTCTGGTAAGAGAATTACTATCTCATCTAGGCTTGCTCGGAAATAATCTATTTCACACTTAGAGAAGAAATATACTGGGTATCCCCCTTTCAAGAAAATAGTAGGTTTGACAGATGGTGGAGTTTTTCTAAAAACTGTTCTCCTATGATTTATGAAATAGACTTTTCTTAATTTCTATGCATAGTTTTACAGTTTCTCTAAAGCATAGGTCTATTATAGCATTGTTGGGTGCTGTTTTTGTTTGTTTGTTTGTTTTTTGACTTGATACTGAGAAGGGATTGCAAAGGTTCAGCTATCATGAAAAACTGTTTTGCCCAGTAGATACACCTTTTGGTCTGATGGAATCTCTCTCTCTAATGTATTGGGGAACATATGAACAAAAATAGAAGAAGTTGTCCCAACTGTTAATAGTTTAGGAGAGGAAAAGTAAAAGGGTATGAAAAGGAAATTTAATAGACTCAACCTGCTGGTGGCCTGTATCATATGCTTTTCTTTGCCTTTGATCAGTACCTCTCTTATTTTGTTTAAGCACTACCCATCTCTAAGTAAGGCATTATCTGAAGATAATTTTGGTGGTTTTGAGTCATTTATTGAATTATATATTATGAAAGATTTTAAGCAGTCTTTAATTCAAATAACTTCTCTACCATATCAACTGCTATTTGGGTAGAATCCTCTTCCCTCTTTTCAGACAGATTTTTTTGTGTTTAACTAGAAGCATTCAGCTAATCTATATCATTGTTTTTATAGCTTTATACCCAGCTTTAAAATTTTTGTGTTACTTTTTATGTATTTTATTTTTTATTTCTTATTTAGCTCCCAATATGGAGCATATACTAGCAGTTGCCAATGAAGAAGGCTTCGTTAGGTTATATAACACAGAATCACAAGCCAATAAAAAGAAGTGTGTCAAAGGTAAGCCTAGGTCTAAATTTTTTGTTTTAGCATTACTTTAAATTCATAAAGCCTCATGTAAATTGTTATTTGGATATATTACCGATTATATTGACTTCTGATTAAGTCTGTTTAAGAAGTTAAATCTTTTACACTTAATGTGGTTAGAGGAAGCATCACTTTAAAGTATTTATATTGACCAAGCATTTCCCAAGGAAAAGTTATACTGACATTAAGAAGCTAATAGGAACTAGTTAAGTCAAGTGTGGAGATAAGCAAAACAAACTATAAATGATATAAATGTACAGGAAAAATGCCACAAGTGTCAAAAGGAAAGCTTTCATGTCGTAAAGATGGCAAGGAAAATTTTTCATGAAGTGTAGGACATTCGGGTTAGACTATGATATTTAAACCAATCAGTGTGGAACAGGACCTGCCACGTGGAGGGGAAAGCATTAGCAGAGGCCTAAAGATAAGAAAGCATAGGCTATAATTAGGGAACAGGGAGTGATCCAGTTTGGCTGGAATAAGATAGATGGAGAACAGTGAGAGATAAACCTTGCAACAGAGATAAAGACCAAAGTATGCAGAACCTTAAATGTCAGACTAGTTTAGATTCCATGCAGAGAGCATGATGAAAATTTTTGAGCTGGAAATGTTTCAGAAAGATTCCATTTTAGAGAGCATGTTACTAGTCACCTCATGGAAAGGAATTTGATATCAAATGGTAGTCCTCTATAGTAGTAAAGGTAATGTATCATGTCTGTGAGTACACAAGTTCTCTTTGGCCTGTGGACTGTGGGTGCTGATGACTGATCTTTTCACTATAGCTTTCAAGAAATTCAAACTGCTATTGATATGGCTACCCCTGAACATAGTGTAGACATTTCACATTCACAATTTTCTTTGTTTAGAATGGATGGCTCACTGGAATGCTGTCTTTGATCTGGCCTGGGTTCCTGGTGAACTTAAGCTTGTAAGTGACTTTCATTTTATTGGAATTTGGGTAAATACTGGTAAAGCATTGCTTGATTAAATTACAATACCTTATTTTTGAAAGGTTACAGCAGCAGGTGATCAAACAGCCAAATTTTGGGATGTAAAAGCTGGCGAGCTGATTGGAACATGCAAAGGTCATCAGTGCAGCCTCAAATCAGTTGCCTTTTCTAAGTTTGAGAAAGGTAGGTTTGTACCTATCCTCTTTCATGTCCTTAACCTCCTTTATGGTGAGTTAATAAGAAGCTGTAATTGTTTCCTCCGTTTCTCCTGTCAGAATTGCTACTTTACCTACATAGATGATTGAGAGTCTCATGACTGAAATCCATGAAATTAACTTGGCTTTTAGTCCTGTTCTTATGGATATTATCTCCAGCTTGTCCCTGTTAAGATTCTTCAGATAATTTTTTTCTATAATCTTGCAGATAAGGTGAATATTTATAAATAGCCACAATACTCCTGTTCAACTTTGAGTGTCCTTTAAAGTCAAAACCTGTCCTGGACACTGATTAACTCTATTTGTAAACTAAATACTTTAACTTTACTTGTAAAATTTTAATTAAATGGATTGTAAGGATAGAGTGGGAAAACTGGTAAAATGGGTGTGATTCTCTACCTAAAAGTTTACCATTTAATTGCTTTAAATCACCCAATTCTCTAATGTTTTCAACTCTTATTTACTCAAAATTTATCTTTCTATATTTATTTTGCTATTATAATAGAGAAGGAAGATATAAAGAATGGTATACAGAACAGTGCTATAATAGCTAGGGAAAAACTTAGGATTGTCTGAATGAGTTCTTCATTTCTATTCACTTCTTTTCTCCTTCCTCCATTAGTTTCTCACTGTATAATTTTTTTAAAAACAAATAGGCCAAACATTGATCTCCAAGAAGTGACTGCATTAATCTGACTTTAATCTCAATGATAAAGATAAACATTGCAGTCTCCTTTATCATTAAGAATATTCTGTTTTTAAAAGGAACATTTTCATTTATTCACATGAGCCCTCAGGAAAATTAAACTGAGTTGTTGAGCTGATTTGTACTCAAAAAAATGTCAATTTTAATTGACTATGGTTGCTTTTGAGAGTGGAATCTTGAAGAAAAATATATGGCATAGTTTTTACCACTAGGTTGTCATTAGAACATCTCTTGTATAAAGTTAGGTATGTTTGTATTCTAGTTTACTACTGTATCAGAGTTTACTCGGAGTTTATAAGATCATGAAAATTTACCCTACTTTAAGTAAACTTATTTAAGGAGTAATAGAAAAGGGAAACACTGTATCTTTTGGTCCCTCTATACAGTAAGTCTATGCCAATGTGGTCTAGTAGAAAAAGCACTGGATTAGAAATTGGGGCTGGTGGCTTTTATCATGGCTCTCAGTAGTCGGTAGTGGCTCTAGCATGAATTATCTGGTTGGACACTGCCCCCAAAGCCACATACTTTGGTTGGTTAACACAGATTAGATTTTAGATTCTTCAGCCAAATGCCTTTGTACAGGGCACACTTTTACAAACATACATAGAACCCCTGTTTTATTCCTGGTTTCTGCCTCTGAACCCTTGGGCAAAGTCAGTTTTATTTCCCTGGACTTTCATTTGTTGATACTTTTGTTTTAACAGGCAATTAACTCAGTAATAGTTAGATTACAGACTGTCAGGAGGGTCAGATCCCACTTCAGTTCTTCAACATAAGCTTTAGTTACAAGCCACTTTTGGTTTTCCCTTGCATCTGTGGTTAAGGGGTCAACCAGAGACTTGTGCTAAATTTAATTTTTTTTTAAAGTTTTTTAAATGTTTATTTTTTGAGACAGAGAGTATGAGCAGGGAAGAGGAACAGAGAGAGGGAGACACAGAATGAAGCAGGCTCCAGGCTCTGTTAGCACAGAGCCTGACATGGGGCTCGAACTCATGACCTGTGAGATCATGACCTGAACCAAAGTCGGAGGTTTACCCAACTGAGCCACCCAGGTGCCCTGTGCTTTAAATTTAAACATAGAATGAGATTACCCTTTCCCTCGCTCTCTCTGGAGTTCCCCTCTCTGACAGCTCTTGTTGCCTCAGCCTCCTTTTCCTACTTCCTATGGCTTGAAAGATAGTAGGTTTTTTATTGGCATCTTAGCTGCCTGGTAATGGTATTACAACTGGTTACCTTCAAGGTAAAACTAGAAAAAAACCGTAATTAGCCCAGGCCAATCATTTGCTTCAGGTATAAACTCCCCTCCAAAAATTTCATGTTTTTGTTTAGTTTCTAAACAGCCCTCAGGTAGTTGGTTTTTATGTTTTGTCCAAAGTTTATAGCTAATACAGGTAAAGATTGGTTTGGTAAGTGCTCACTCTTCCACACAGGAAACAGTCTTTTTGGTTTAAAGAATACAGCATTACAGATAAATTGAAGTTCCATTATGTTCCATTCTCTAATCCCATTGTCCTCTTTCCATCCCCAGAGGTCACCTGTTGTGCTATTTTGTATAGATTTCGTCCATGTTTTTATACTGAGACAATATAGCTTGGAGGTTTGGAGAGTGGGCTCTGGATTTATTCTAAGAATATCTTTATAAGTTACTTACCTTCTCTATGCCTTAGTTTTCTTATCTATAAAATGGGTATAGTAATAACCCCCTAATAGGGTTGATAACAAGGATTGAGATAATTTATATAAAGCCAATGGGTTAGTGTACAGCACTTAGTAAGCTCTGAGTATCTTTTGGTTATTGCTTGTTTATCATTATTTCCGTACGTGTACTATATATAGTGTTTTGTGTGGTTTTAAGAATATTTACACAGAGGGATTATTCTATAAAGTGGTTTTTTCAGCATAAGCCTTTTGAGTTCTTTGTAATCCTTTCCCTTCACAACTTTGTTTTCTCTTACTTGTTGTTAAGTCATGTATTTTTTGCAATTTTAATCTCCTGTGCCAATTATAGTGCCTAACATACAATAATAGATACTCTAGGAAACTTAAGTTGAAATGCATGTATTATTGACTGGTTTTTGTTAACTTCTTATAAATTATTTCGCCCCCAGCTGTCTTCTGTACAGGTGGAAGAGATGGCAACATCATGGTCTGGGACACCAGGTGCAACAAAAAAGGTAGACCAGTTCCATTTAAATTTTGATAAATGTGGGATCACCCCTTACTTATTTTGATTGAGTTAGTGATTTTATCTGGTTACCACCAGGGGGCACATGTTCATAATCGCCCATTTCTGCTCATTGTATGAATTCTCAGGATCACTGTGAGTGTTTCAAGTATTACCCTCCATATTCACTTCTGTTGTCTTCTGAACTATGCCATTTACCTCAATTAATGATGTAATTATTAATACATGGGCTCACTGGGAGATAATCTTTTAATTTAAAAATTATTTGGCTTTCAAGAATTGGATTAAACATAATTATGCTCACGTTGTGCCCATGACACCACTAAGCAGAATGCAATGAACATATCCCTGCTTATTCCTTTTTTAAAAATAACTTATTTATTTTTAATAGACTATTTTTCAGAGCACTTTTAGATACACAGCAAAATTGAGCAGAAAATACTTCCTCTGCCCACAGCCTTTCCCACTGTCAGCATCCCACAGCCAAACTGGACATTTGTCAGAATTGATGCCCCTGCACTGATACATAATTAGCACTCAGTGCCCCTCTGCACTTTACATTAGGCTTCACTCTCGGTATTGTATATTCTATTAGCTTTGACAAACATATAATGACATGTATCTACAATTATAGTATCATGCAGACTGGTTTCACAATGCTAAAACTTCTCTGCTCTGCCTGTTCATCTTGACCTTCCCCAAGCCCTGGCAACCACTGATCTTTTACTGTCTCCATAATTTTGCCTCTTGCAGAATGTCATACAGTTGGAATCATACATATGTAGCCTTTTGAGACTTGCTTCTCTCACTTAATATGTATTTAAGTTTCCTCCATGTCTATTCGTGGCTTGGTAGCTCATTTCTTTTTACCGCTGAGTAATATGCCATTGTCTGGATATACCACAGTTTATTCATACATTCATCTCCTGAAAGACATCTTGATTGCTTCCAAGTTTTGGCATTTGGGAATAAAGGTACTCCAAATATCCATGCGATTATTTCTTTTTTATACGTTATAATCTCACCAAAAGAAATGCAGTAGCTCCTGGCTTCTTATTTCACTTTTAAGAATAGAATTAATTTGGGGATATTATGCATAAATGTTATATCCAGCAAGGGAATAAAGTTCTGAAACCTAAATCAGTTTGTTGGGAATATCTTTCAGATGGATTTTATAGGCAAGTGAATCAAATCAGTGGAGCTCACAATACCTTAGACAAGCAAACCCCTTCAAAACCTAAGAAGAAACAGAATTCAAAAGGACTTGCTCCTTCTGTGGTAAGGTTTTATAGCTGTGTACATATGTGCAGATCTTAACAGTAGGATAGAATCACATTTTATAGAACTTCTTGGGCATAACATAAGGAGCTATAGATGAAGTAAATGAGAAGCTTCATTTCGTCTTGGTAACAGTAGTTTATTGCTTAACACTCAATACCTTCAGTACTACAGTAGTAGTTCTCAAACTGTAGTGTGGAACACAGTTACCTGGAAGTATATTAAAAATTCATTTTCCTGAGCCTCATCCCTAGAGTTCTCCATGCATATACATATCTATAGTATAATATAATTCGTTAGGCAGGGGGGGATAGTTTCAAGAAACATATTAAGTACCTTGATACAGTTTACTTTAGGGGGAGGTAATCACTCTTATTTTCATAACTACCTGAAATATATGAGTTTTTAATACTTTTCTAAACATTTGGCAAAATAGTAAATGTACTGAGACATTTAGGTAGAATGTAGTATCTCTCTAGAAACTTGTAGTCGAAGCTTAAACAATGCCCATAATACATCTTTTTTCCTTTCCAAAAAAATCACCATTACTCTTTATTGTGTTTATTTTTCTAATATTCCTGGTCTGTAGGATCCAAATTAATATGTTAGAAAAATGTTTTTACTAATTAAAATTGTATACCATGAATAGGACACAGGCATGAGTGGAAAGTGACTGGCTTAATGTGGTTTTTGGAGGCCAGATGAAGTTAAAATTAATATCATTTCAAACAATCAGATTCTGAGCTAAGAAAACTTGTTAATGGCAATTAGGTAAAACTCCACTGAGCTCCTTTAAATTTTTCAGAGCATGTAATCATCTTTCATCCATAATTCTTTAGACACTTCCATATGATAGTTTAGGTGGACGGTGACATTTTACAGATGAAACAGGCACAGGAAAGTTAAATGAGTTTCCTAAGGATACACAGCTTATTAGTAGGGCTGATTTTAAGTAGAACCAGTTTGTTTCTTGAGAACAAGGCAAAGTCAACACTACATACTGTAACTTAATGATGTTTATAAAGGTCATTTTCACACTAAAATTCCTTGGTCAGTATAAATATCTGATTTAGGATTATTGGAAAAGGAAGATTTAGTCTAAGTCAGAGTTTGGGTGAGGGAGAAGCCATCATTTTAGCATCTTGTTCTCTTCGTGGTGAAGATTATGATACCCAAAATAGGACTTTTGCCATTCTTTTTCTGCCTTTCGTGCTGTCAGGATTTCCAGCAGAGTGTTACTGTGGTCCTCTTTCAAGATGAGAATACATTAGTCTCAGCAGGAGCCGTGGATGGGTAAGAGCCTTTATTTCTTGTTTCTTTTGATGAGATCTCTTTCATAAACATGACAGGGAAGTCACCTAGTCCCATTAAAATAGAATGTGTGTGCTTTTAACTTTCAATGTAGTGAATATCCAGCTGAGAAGAGGAACTACAGATCACACTGAAAAATCCCTAATTAGGACTTTTGCTCATAAAATTAAATGAGGTAATCCATGTGTCACACTGAGCACATTATCTAGCACGCAGGAGCGGTGTTGGCTGCTGTTGCTGTTGCAGAGAAGCGGGATGGGAAGCTCCCTTGTCCACGCAGTGTAATTTAAGCAGCGGGTCTTATTTCAGGAGTAAGATTTCTGTTATATTGCATTTTCTCTTCTCAGGTTTAGGAATAACCCTAAAAGAAGAAATCTGATTCTGGGTATATAAAGGGCATTTTGGGGAGTAATCAGTAAGGCCTAATGACTTTCACATACCTGCCATCTGTGATTGGTCTGAATGTTTAGTTTCCAAATAAGTTGGTGGTACTTCTTGATTGGTTGCTTTGTTAGAATAAAAATTCTTTGAGTGTTTTTAAGCACCCTTCTTTGCCCCCTTATTTGCTCATTGTATCTCTGAAGACATCCCTCCCTTCAAAACTAAGAAGATGAAGGCTTAATGAACTAGAACTTCTGTTGTCTCTTCTGGACCCCACAACTTGTCTCTGGACCAAATTCTCAGGCACAAATGGAGGATTATCTGAAGGTTATTAGTAATGCTTGTGAATGGCGTGAAAGCTTGCTCTGTTTCCAAGGATACTGCCCTTCTACACAAAATATGGGTTTTCAGGTTGCCTATAAACTAGATGTTGAAGATTAATACAATTATACCAATAGATAAAATGAAGAAATACTTAATTTCACAGGAAAATTTATTTAGATTACTTGAATTATGTAGAGAGATATAACCATAAGACAGAGCTTATTCCTTATGGTATTAGAGGTTACATGTAGAGTGTTAACGACTTAGGAAGCATGCATTTTTTTTTGTTTTTTTGTTTTTTTCTGAAAACAATGAAGCAATGACCATCAGAACCCAACCTTCATCTTCCTTTTCCGCTCTCTTAAAGTAAACTCAAGGTAACCCATCACTGGGTCAGATCACATCTGTTTCCGTTCTGCTTAAGTTATTAGCCTGACATTGGAAACAATAGTATGAGATAGTTCAGTCTCTTCCCCAATGAGATATCCTCATTGTACGTGGTTGATGTGCTAGAGGAGTCAGATTAAAAGTCATTTCACATTCAGTCATTCAATGTAGTTGAAACTGTTTGGAGTTGGGTGGCTACAAAATAACTTTCTTTACCTTGGTTTTTAGGGTAATCAAAATATGGGATTTACGTAAGAATTACACTGCTTATCGACAGGAACCCATAGCATCCAAGTCTTTTCTGTACCCAGGTAGCAGCACTCGAAAACTAGGTAAGCCTTTTTAGATCCTGTAGGACTTTTTTTTTTAGATGTGTGAGTTTTTGTTAAAATTTTAAAAATAAATATCAGGCTGGTTTTCAGCAACATGGACTTGAGGTGAACATGTGGTTGTATCTTTTTGAAATTCAAAAGATAAAAGGAATATTTTTGGTTTATATATATTTGAGGGAAGATGAATTCTGATAATCTTGTGGAATGTTCTTTTGCCTCTACATTTTCATCTCAGTTCTATTCGCTGTCATCAGGACATGCTAACTAAAGTTTCGTTTTTCTAGGGTACTCAAGTCTGATTTTGGATTCCACTGGCTCTACTTTATTTGCTAACTGCACAGATGACAATATCTATATGTTCAATATGACTGGATTAAAGACTTCTCCAGGTAAGATCTTAGCCACTTCAAATCTCCTCCCCAAAAACTAATATGGAAGTGTTTGTTAATGATAATTTTTTAATGTTTTTTACTCATTTCTGAGAGAGAGAGAGAGGGAGGGAGACACAGAATCTGAAACAGGCTCCAGGCTCCGAGCTGGCTGTCAGCACAGAGCCTGACGCGGGGCTCGAACCCACAAACTGTGAGATCATGACCTGAGCCGAAGTCGGACACTTAACCGACTGAGGTACCCAGGCGCCCCTGTTAATGATAATTTAATATTGCCCTTTTTCTAAGAGGACTTTGAGGTCTTAACAGTGAGTCTTTCCTGAAATTATGTCCCTTTGACTATATTTAGACTTATCTCAATTTTTTGTAAGATACAGAAAGCTGTTCTGCTTAGCTTTTGTCTTGTTCGGGCATTGTTTGTTAAAATTAGGGAGCTGAAGTTTTTAAGGCCTTAAATAGGTTTTATCTACTCAACCTCCTTAATGTTGGGCAGAGTCTATTTTATCTCTAGCTTTCCCTAACCTCACCTTTTTTTTTTCCTTCAAGAAAATTAAAATTGGTATCTGGTGTATAAAGTTGATACCTGACATTTTTAGAAAAGAGGTGAAAGTTTCTTAGGCATAGTCTAAGAGGGTTATTTGGGTTATATAATTTTAAGAATATTATTAATTACTTAGCCAAGCTACATCTGAGTAACGTGGTTCTTGCTCAGGTCAGAAACAGAGTTTGAGTTCTGTAACCAATCCCCAAAGCTACCTAGTTCCCATTAAAGTAAGATGTGCTGATAAATAAGAAATCTTAAAATAGTACAGAATTTAGCTGGGCCCTTACAGAAGTTTCCAAAGACTGCCCCAAGCCATTAATAGGAGTTTGACTTCTATGACAGCTTCACATTTGGTGTTTCTAACGCCCTGGATTAGTTCTCGTGTTGTCTAAACAAGAACAAGAATATTTGGAAAGGGGAAGTGGTTTATAACTTCTTTTCCTATTTTCCTGAGTAGAACCAGAACTTGGATAGTTTTTAACTTAAATAATATAAAATAGACTTTTTGAAAACTTTCTCCAAAAAAAATAAAAGTACAGTCCTAATCATGTTATCGAATATACAAGAGCTTCTTCTTTTTTTTTTTTTAAATGCTTTTTAATGTTTATTTTTGAGGGCGAGAGACACAAAACATGAGTGGGGGAGGGGCAGCAAGAGATGGAGACACAGAATCCAACACAGGCTCCAGGCCCCAAGCTGTCAGCACAGAGCCTGATGCGGGGCTTGAACTCACAAGCCATGAAATCATGACCTGAGCTGAAGTCAGATGCTCGACCAACTGAGCCACCCAGGCACCCCACAAGAGCTCTTTCTGTGTCATTTTTTTTTTATAGTGTGGCCCTAAAGGGGGACCTTGAGTTTAGTTTGTCCCTCTGTCATCAAACAGATATGCCCACGGCTACTTTACTGATAATTTAGTAACTTTTTCCCTGTGCTCCTAAAATAGTATTAGGTAGGTAGATAGGTAGGTAGATAACGTTCCTTAGAAATTCAGTGACAGATGTATGTGTGACACCCAGTAATTGCTTATCTTTTTCAAAACTTCAAAAAGGGTCTTGGGCTTAATATTTCATCTCCCATACTTTTAATTCGCAATATTTTATATTAACTGATGTTCACAAAGATGACTCTGAACTACTTCAATAAAGCATTTTTATTTTCAGAGCCCAAATTGTTAAAGTTTAAGTTGAGCTAATCAAAGCCAATACAGGTTTAAGGATTTTTTGAGAGATCTGAAGCATTTACAGTGTACTTGATGACCAGTAGAGGGCAATAAATACTTACTATTTTAGCGGGAAATTTGTTCTGTATTTTTCCATTCATAATTAGAGTAGAGAAAGATCAACAAATATAATTTTCGAGTTGTATTCAGAACAAAGGAACCTGTTTATTTTGTGAGATTTATCATAATAGGTAAAAAGAAAATGTATATCTGAATTGATTAACATTCTGCTTAACTTCCACATTGGGAGGGTTACAGGGGAGACTGTGTAACAGTGTAGGCTTTTTCTTGAAAAGCTAACATTATAAGATCTTTTTCCAGTTTTATTTTGGTAAAAGGAAGAGGTTTCTATGACCACTTAAGGAAAGCTATTAAGTCCTTAGTAATTCTTATTTCCTTTCTGTTAGAAGATTGGAGTGAATTTTTTCCTGCTTATATATAGTCTTAAATTCTCCAATATGTGAGATTTGTTTTTTTTTTTTCTATTACCCATTAGTGTTCTCATAGCAGAGGCCTCAGGTTTTGGTCTTCTTAGAAGAGCCTATCAAGCACACTGTGCTAGGTTGGATTATTTGCCCTTTTACCATGTACTAAAAAGTCTAAATCTAAAGGCTAACCCTAACCTAGTTGGAATATCTTACATATAAACATACAGTTTACCCCACTAGCTACTTCTTTCCATCCTTTTTAAAAAGACTCTTAGAAAAATTAAGGTAGATTTCTACATCCCAAATGAGCTGTCCCTAAATCTTAACTCTTTCCACTGATTTGTGCTTATTCATGCAACAAATGTTTGAAAATCTGCTCTGTTCAAATTACTATGAGATCTAGTGAGGAAAGGATAAAATAGGAAATTTATCCTTGAGATTTGAAGTCTTAGAGGAAGAAGCACCAATGTATTATACAGTGGAAAAGCCCTACCTCACAGTGGGGAAAGAGAAGTCTAATAAGGCATTTTACTAAAAGAGTGGACACTGGTTCCGTTCTTCTTCTTAGGAACATTTTTCATCACTTTCTTGTGTATAGCCAGCTCTGTACCAAGTATTTGGCTTAGGTCATGAGAGTGGGTCTAATATAAAGCTTCTCTGAGACTTCCTCTGCTTTTCTGCCAATGTCCAGTTCCCTTTAATTTAGTGAATATAGCTGGGCTATCTGTTTCAACATTCAATAGTCAATACAGTAATAAACCTTGTTAGAACACGTATATTGTCTGCATTTATTTGAACACTTGAAATAACAAGAACCAAGTATTTTCATTTTTCCCCCCTCTGGCAGTGGCTATCTTCAATGGACATCAAAATTCTACCTTTTATGTTAAATCCAGTCTTAGTCCAGATGACCAGTTTTTAGTCAGTGGCTCAAGTGATGAAGCTGCCTACATTTGGAAGGTAAGTTGCCAAACTTCCCTCACAAATGTGAGACTAAAGTATTCTTTAAAATATTTTTTCTAAGATGAGCAAGTTTAATGCAAACACATGCTGTTAACTTTTTCTACATCAGATGTTCAATAAAAATTGCTTCTTCCTTCTTAACATAGCCAAACCTCCTTCTGATTGTCAGAATATATCACACTTTAATGGCCAGAGCTTCTCAGAAATTGACAACCTATGTCCTCCAGGAGTTTCACAGATTATTAAGAAATTAAGAACTCAAAAAACTGGAGAGAGTCTTAACTACTTTGTCTTACTTCCTGGAAAAACACATTGGGACTGCCTTTCTGCCTTCATCATGAGATCTAGCTCCATGTTGAGCTCTGCGCTGAGCATGGAGCCTGCTTAGATTCTCTCCCTCTCTTTCTCTGCCTCTCCCCTGCTTGCACACACACACTCTCTCAAAATATATTTTTTAGAAATATCTTCAAAATACAATATTTTAATCCCCAGGATCCTATACCCAAATTAGCCATAGAGCCTTGCACAAAACACTCAAAAATATTTATATGGCAATTGTACTCTTTACTCTCTCATAATTGTCCAATCTTAAGGTTACTAGAAGAGATGTGGCTGCTTTATCAATTTTATATACATATATTTTTTAAGTTTATTTATTTTGAGAGAGAGAGAGAGAGAGCATATGCAGGGGAGGGACAGAGAGAGAGGGAGAGAAAAAATCAGAAGTAGGCACTGCACTGTATAGTCAGCACAGAGCCCAAAGTGGGGCTCAAACTCACGAACCATGAGCTCATGCCCTGAGCCAAAATTAAGAGTCATCTGCTTATCTGACTGAGCCATGCAGGTGCCTCTCCCTTTTGTATATATTTAATAGCACTATTTAATCTTTTTATTTTATAGATTTCCCATTTCACAAGTTTATAAATTTTTTTACTTTTTTAAACATTTATTTATATTTTTTTTACATTTATTATTTTTGAGAGACAAGAGTGAGACAGTGTGAGCAGAGTAGGGGCAGAGAGAGAAGGAGACACAGAACCTGAAACAGGCTCCAGGCTCTGAGCAAATGTTCAGCACAGAGCCAGATGTGTGGCTCGAACCCACGGACTGTGAGATCATGACCTGAGCTGAAGTTGGACGCCCAACCGACTGAGCCAGCCAGGCGCCCCAATGTTTATTTATTTTTGAGAGACTGAGAGACAGAGCATGAGCAGGAAAGGGGCACACAGAATCCAAGGCAGGCTCCAGCCTCTGAGCTGTCAGCACAGAACCTGATAAGCTCCAACTCATGAACCGGGAGATCATGAACCTGGGCTAAAGTCGGATGCTTAACTAACTGAGCCACCCAGGTGCCCCAATATGTTTTTACTTTTTAAATAACAGTGATTCCTAAGTGACTGCTATAAGCCTAGAAATTTAAAGCTGTTGCGGGCATCCAGGGTGGCTCAGTCCATTAAGCGCCTGACTATAGGTCCAGTCATAATCCCGTGGTTCGAGAGTTTGAGCCCCGAGTTGGCTCTGTACTGACAGCACAGAGCCTGCTTCAGATCCTCTCTCTCTGTCTCTCAAAAATAAACAAACATTAAAAATATATTAAAAAGAAATTTAAAGCTTTCCATTTGACATTAGTGGAGAAAACAAATATTACACAAGTAGCACTTACTAACCACTAGCTCTTTTGGGACTAATTAATTATAGAAGTGTCTGGGAGTTCAGAGAAATAAGAATAATATGGCATTGTTTTCCTATGGTTAGAAAGGATCTTCTAGATTGCCTTGTAATGTCATAGATGTCCTTGACATTGGTGAATCTAATGATCAGAATTCACACATTTTGGATCTTAGAGGCATAAAGTCTCAAACTTCATAGACCCATAGATTCAATGTTATCAAATCCCTTCTCAGAAGGCAATTACATCTTTCTTAGTCCTGCCAACCTCTAGGAAGTTGTATCTTTAATGTTGGTTTAGGACAGGATAGAATCCGTCAGGTATGAAGGATAATTCTTCAGCTTAATTTCATCTGGTCCTGGGGGACACACTAAAAAAACTGAATACCTAGAGGTGCAAAAATGCAACACTACCTTAGGAGTTTTTAGTCACAATATCCTAGATGGTCACATGGTGGAGACGTTGTTCTATCCAAGTTGCTTTTGTGTTGTTGTACTTGCCTCTTTTTCTGTAAGTGCATTTCTTTCTTTTATTTATTGTATTTATTTTTATTTTTTTAATATTTTAAATGTTTGTTTATTTTTGAGAGAGAGACAGAAGATGAGCAGGAGAGGGGCAGAGAGAGAGGGAGACACAGAATCTGAAGCAGGCTCCAGGCTCTGAGCTGTCAGCATGGAGGCTGACGTGAGGCTCGAACTCACGGGCTGTGAGATCATGCCCTGAGCCAAAGTCAGATGCTTAGCCCACTGAGCCCCACCCTGGCACCCCTATTTATTGTATTTTTAAATGGCAATTTGCTTATAAAATATATATCTAAGACCCTTATTCGTAAGAGTTTTTACTTAATTTCTTGCCTATAAAATTTTCTGACTTGAGTTTTATTTATTTATTTATTTTTTAAATTTTTTTTTTAATGTTTTATTTATTTCTAGGAGAGAGAGAGACAGCGTGAGCAGGGGAGGGTCAGAGAGAGAGGGAGTCACAGACTGAAACAGGCTCCAGGCTCTGAGCTGGCAGTCAGCACAGAGCCTGACGCGGGGCCAGAACCCACGAACCGCGAGATCATGACCTAAGCGAAAGTCAGACGCTTAACCGACTAAGCCACCCAGGCGCCCCATCTGACTTGAGTTTTAAACTTTAATAATATAGGTTACTGACACTAATGCTTTCTTCTAATATATTAAATTCTGAGTTTCAGATTTGATCTTAATGCTTGTTTTTCTTTTTGTTTTCCCTTTCTCCCACTCTCACTGTCTTATCTCCATTCCCTTTTCTATTTGACTCCCAATTTCACAGGAAGATTTTTATTCCTACCAAAGTCTGTATCTTTTTAAGGTTTTTAATTTTTTAAAAGAAAATTACACATACCAAAAAGCATAATAAAAGATTATGCAAAAAATACTTAATGGACTGATCATTCTTAAAAATCACTTAAAACTCAGATTTGTTTTTACATTTATTTATTTTTGAGAGAGACAGAGTGTGAGCAGGGGAGAGGCAGAGAGAGAGGGAGACACAGAATCCGAAGCAGGCTCCAGGCTCTGAGCTGTTCGCACAGAACCTGACACAGGGCTTGAACTCGAGAACCGCAAGATTAAGACCTGAGTCGAAGTCAGACCCTTAACCAACTGAGCCACCCAGGCACCTCTAAATCAGTTTTTTAATTACATATACATAATTCTACATATAATTGTATATTATACACGTGTATACGTGTTTATAGATATACTTTTATTGTCAATTCTCTCTAGCTGTTTTCTTTAGTACATAGGCCATTCTGTCTTGGTTTGTTTTGTTTCAGGGAATGAGGGTCGAGGTAGTTTCTCTCTTTAAAGACATGCGGTAAAGATATTTGGCTGTTGTTAGTAACCCATTTTCAGACATCTACTCTGGCTATCACATACATGGGTGACCCTTTCTAAATTCCTAGGCTGGGTCACATGTCAGTGCTGAATGATGTGGTTCAGACATGATGTTCTCCTGCCTGTCCACACATAACTCAATGTGCAGGCTCTGATATTTGAGATCCTGGCAAGCTTACTGCTCCTAAAATTGAGTTTGCCTAGTGAGGTGGCTCAGTTTCTCTTTTCCATGATTAAAAAAATAAGGTGGGGGTGTAGTTTAAAAACCATTCTGTGCAAGCTGCATATCCAAGCTATTAGGTTATTTTATAGCTCTGCTATGTTTCCAAAAGGTCAGAATTCCTTCAAGTGTTGGGATTTTTTTCTACATTAAAAAGCCTAGGGGCACTAGAAAACAGAGAAATAAAGGAGTTTCAGGTCTTAAGACAGAAGAGAATGGCCTTCTACTCTTTACCACTGCTCAACAAAGGGGAGACATAGTTAGACTCCGACACTGAGGCCCAAGACTTAACAATACAAACAGTTAATTTTTTTTTTCTTTTTAATTTCTTACCCTTGCCTCCTTTCCCTGGTTCATTTCTGTTATAGCCACTGAATAGTATTGGAGTGGTTATAAATAAACTCATTTGGCACAGTCATTCTACCGCTGACTGCGAAACATTGAGCCTGACACTTTAGGAAGTGTAAATGATCTCATGGCAGAAATAAAGATGAGATTTGGTTTCTCACTGGGCATAGTAAGGAGACTTTAGGGGGAAAGGTGCTGATCTTTTTTGCATGTTTAAGAATATAAAATGTTTTATTACATGTATAGCTTAAAGCCAGTTCTTTCTACCTGTTGCCTTTATAGTTCCAGGAGTTTTACCATGGGGACTCTCCATTCCTTGAATTAAAGTCTGTATAACAGCTAGAATATGTAAGAGAGGGCAGTTTTCCATGGTTTGACCCTCTCCAGGATGCACAGGTGTAAATGCCTCTTGGACTTAAATAGTTTCCTCTTTCGACTTAAAAGTAGAGAGGCTTTTAAAAAAGAAATCATGGGGAGCCTGGGTGGCTCAGTCAGTTGAGCATCCGCCTTTGGGTCAGGTCATGATCTCACAGTTCGTGAGTTCAAGCCCCACATTGGGCTCTGTGCTAACAGCTCAAAGCCCGGAGCCTGCTTCGGATTCTGTGTCTCCCTCTCCCTCTGCCCCTCCCCCACTCATGCTGTCTCTCTTTGTCTCTCTCTCTCTCTCTCAAAATAAATAAATGTTGAAAAAATTTTTTTGAATAAAAATAGATAAATCATGTAGATACAGTGATGTTTTATAAAAATGAAGTGACAATGAATAAAAACTTATTTGAATAAAAATGAAGGATTTAAAAACTACTTGAGCTTCACCAGAGGACACTCATCTTCTTCAAGCAGTCAGCAAGTATACTATACCGTGCTAATACAGACCTAAACTGTGAAAGCTCTTGGAACTACCATTCATATAAACGTGCTGGACAGTACCTCTCATTTCAGCCCACAATATGTCCTTCTCTCCACTTTTTTTTGTTGAGATAGAGGTTTATCATTTTAGTCATGTTTAAATGTATAGTTCAGGGATTTTGAATACAGTCACGATATTGTGCAACCACCATCACTATTTCATTTCCGGACATTTTCATTACTCCAACAGAAACACTGTACCCATTAAGAGTCACTTTCCACTCTTCCCTGCCCTCAGCCTCGGGCAAGCATTAACCTATGTTCTGTCTATGGATTTGCCTCTTCTGGACATATTCTATAAATAGAGTCACACAATATGTGATCTTTTATGTCTGGCTTGTTTTACTTAACATAATGTTTTCAAGATTCATTGTGTTGTTGCAAGTATCAGTACTTCATTCTTTTTATGGCTGAGTATCCATTGTGTGGATTGACCACATTTTACATACCGATTTATTAGTTGGTAGACATTTGAATTATTTTTACTTTTTTGGCTTTATAAATAAAGCAGCTATGAGCGTTCATGTATAAGTTTTTGTTTGAACATACATTTTTCAGTTCTTCTGTGTGTATATCTAAGAATATAAGTGCTGGATCTAGTAATTAATTCTGTGTTTAACTTTTTGATGAACCTTCTCCCCCCATGTTTAAGGCTATGTAAAGTGCCTGGCTCAACAAATGCTGACTTGTATTATTTTTTTAATGTTTATTTATTATTGAGAGACAAAGAGACAGAGTGTGAGAGGGGGAAGGGCAGAGAGAAGGAGACACAGAATCTGAAGCAGGCTCCAGGATCTGAGCTGTCAGCACAGAGCCTGATGCGAGGCTCGAACCCACAAGCCGTGAGATCATAACCTGAGCCGAAATCAGAAGCTTAACCTACTAAGCCACCTAGGCACCCCTTGAAATTTATTTTAATCCTTTGCATACACATTTAGGTTCCCTTAGGTATTGTAATGCCTAGAAAATTGAAGAAGAGCCAATATCATGAAATGACAAGTTAAAGGCCATAAGCAGAGTAAACCAACGCAGTAGAGTAATGTGTTCCTACCAGAGAGGGTCAAAAGGACATTCGGATTTTCTCTCCCTTTTAATTTGGTGCTACCAGTCCTGCTTGGGCCTTGGATAAAGGGAAGCTTAATGGGCTGGGGCCATCCCAAAGAGAGAAGGAAGGAGAATTTCTCTGAGTTCTGAAAGAGACTATCTCAAAAGTCTTCAAAAATATGCTACCTCATGAGAGAACAGGTTATTGTTCTCTGTGCAATTTTTTGCACAAATTTTGTAGGAGGCAAAAAGTGAGGTCTTTTTTCTTAATACTCAGGAAAAAGCTTTTTCTGTGAAACTCTTAATTAACCCAGCAAGGCAAATTAGACTCTGTTCTTTCTCTTCTTTTGCTTTTTGAATCCTTACATGTGCCATTTAACCCAAGAGTAGTAATAATTGATTTGGAGAACCTTATGAATCAGTGTGTTGAATATCTTCACTACAATTGAAGGAATCTATGAAGTTTACTTAGTCATTCTTGCAAATATTCTTTCCACAGTCGCCTCCACTTTCTTCATACAGATGAGCAATGATTCAGAGCCTCGGGAAAATGAAAAGGGAATAGTTTCTCTTTTTCAAACACATGTGCTATAATAATAGAAATGAGTTTGTGCCATATTGTGCTGATTAATTCCCATGGCCTCTGAAAGGGATTGACAGGTCTTGAATGAATCAACTGTCAAATGCAGATCAGTAATGGCATCGGGGGGAGAGTGTGTGTGATTCTTAGTCACGTGTGTTGCACTGCACAATATGACCCTCTTGATCCTTTAAATGTGGCAGAACTTAACTGAAAATTCAAGAGTTCTTTAAGCAAATTAACCAAAATGAAATCTTAAAAGTTTTTTTTTTTTCCCAAAAGGTCCATATAAAAAAGTATATAGTTTATAGACTTTCAAAATGAAGAGCCTGGGTGGCTCAGTCAGTTAAGCAAAATGAAGGGATGACTTTGATAAAAATCAGTGAGTCTCTTGGATGAAAGACTCTCCTTTTGTCACAGAACTGGTAGTATGTCTGAGATGCTTTCAGGGTTTAACTAATGTGTTCTTGGAAGTCACTGATTAGAGAAAATCTGAAAATGTCTAGGCTTTGTGAAAACAGGACTCCACTTGAAGTGTACACTACCTAGCAGCTGACCTCCATCCTTACAGAAAGTTTATCAGCTAAGAAGTGAGGGGAAATGTCATCCTTGCATTTTAGTCAAAATATATATGGATAGCTAAGTAGTCCTGTCCTGGTATCTGAGTTCCTATCTGTCTTCTCAGATCAGTGACATAACTTTGCCCATTGGAACTCTTTTCTGAGCTATAACTAGACATACTTAGAGACCTTTGGTAACAAAGCTCTCTAAGGCACAGACATGGAAAGATTTAAAGGCTCTATATGGGAGACCTAACACTGTTCTGCTGACCTGTTTTTTTCTTTTTTGATGGTGTGATAGGTCTCCACACCCTGGCATCCTCCTACTGTACTCCAGGGTCACTCTCAAGAGGTCACATCTGTGTGCTGGTGTCCATCAGACTTCACAAAGGTTTGTAAATAAATCTGTAGTTGACTTAAAAAGTGGATCACAGATTTGTAGATTCTCCCAAGGTTAGTTTGAGAGTTATACAGACTTTAATGTTTAAATAGAGATCAAAAGAACTAGATCCAGGATCTATGTCAGCATTAATCATAGACATTCTCACTTTGGGGATGAGCACTGAGTGTTATGTAGAAACTAATTTGACAATAAACTATTTGTAAAAAAAAAAAAAAAAAAAAAATCATAGACATTCTGCTTTTCTCTACCAGTAGGGAAACTTACACTAAGGAATAAGAATGGATTTCTTGATTCCTTAGAAGTCATTGTTTTCCTAATTGTAGAATTAAGTTTTTAATATAATTAAATTTCATCCAAATATCTAAGGTAAAACAAAAATCTAAAGGTGAAAAAAACAGTTTTATTAACTTCCTGCATATTATTAATGTGATATGTTAAAGGTAACATCCCGACTGTTCTTCACAATCCAGTTTAGTCTTCACATGCCTCAGCAATGTGTACTGTGAAGTCTTAATGTGCTACGGTAGCTATGGCAAACTGCAAAAGCAGCCCCAAAATGTTTTAGACATTTCTCACTTAAAAGAAAATTTAACAGTAGCACTTAAAAACAAACAAAATCCTGAAAGTTAGAAAGGCCAGAAACATTAATTTTATGTACACGTAGGGCTTTCATACAATGGTGGCCCAAATTCCACACACTCTCCTGGCTTCCATTGCTCTGGTCTTTGGGTTATTTGGGGTTTACAAGCAATATCACTTCTGTGGAGATCTCCCCTTTCATGTATGACGTTTTGAGGTTTTGTTCCCATCTGTTTTTTATCTTCCAGAAACTTCTTATGGTCTGGCCTACTCATGGCATCCCTGCTAGCTTTCCAGTACTGCTGTGGGTTTCTTTTTATTTCTGTATCCCTGTATAACCATTTCTGTGCTCAGCCTCATGATAGGCCTTTTTTTTTTTTTTAACTCATTGTTTTAATCTCCAATAATTACATCCCAGTGACATTTTCCTTCTGGGATTCCATGTAACTTCCAGTGAAATATCTGCTTTTAACATATTTTATACTTTTGTAGAACTAAGATTTTTTTTTTAATTTTTCACTTATTTGTGTCATCTGTTTTCAACCACCATATATTCTGTGCATTATCTATGTGCACAGAAAATACTTCTAGGAAATAACAGGAGTGTTTACCTGTACTAATCTAGTGAACACCCTTTTAAAAGGATTTTTAAAATAATTTTGCTCCTAGCCTAGAGTTAGGAAGGTAAGATATGGTTTAAAAACAAAAGGTTCTAGCCTTTGAAATTAGAAAAACTTAATATTTCAGTCCTAGCTCTGCCACTTAATTGTGGTGACATTGGGCAAATAACTTTATTCTTATTTTACAGATGAGGTTATTTGAGTTCAAGGTTTTTACATTGCGAGAATTGAGCAAGATAAAAAATATAAATTGTCAGATGCACAGTAGGTACTCTGGAAATAATAATTCTTATTAATAGGCCATAGAGTAACTGGGGATTCCAGGCATTTCTTCTTGAGCAGTTAAATATGTGTGTCTTCTTTTGGCCTCCCAGTAAGGAAAGGAAAAAGCTGCCAGTCTCTTGGGGGCCAAGACTTAAGAGAACGTGTGTTCTTTTTTCTCTCTCTTTAGTGACTGAAATAGAGAAATTATATAAACAAATGCTGGGGAACAGCTCTCGTACCAGTGGCCATTTGCCACAAGCTCTTCAGACTGGACTTTCTCTGCCATAAAAGGCTTGGGACCATGATCAGGAATGGTCAGATATTTTTAAAGGGGCAAAGGTTATTTTTAACTTCTTTCAGCCTAGTGAACTTGTTGTTTTCCCAGATCGCTCCTTTACCTATTTGAAAAAGAATCTCAAAGGAATGGTTTCATTCTACTTGTCACAGCTTCCTAGATTCATGGACTAAGCCTGATCTTGGAAATGATCCCATTTCCTTAGCAGTGAGCCAGAGCATGTATAATTCAGAAGAAAGTGGTAGAAACTGAATGTTGGTGACATATTCTGGTTTATCATTTAAGAGGAAGAGTAAAAAAGGTATTATAATTATATATGCCATAGTTCTATAGCAGGTGATAAAGATAATGACTTGCCCAAGTTTTTAAGATTAAAATGAAGTGAACTTGGTTTTATATGAGGGCCTTAGGTCAGGTAAGAAATGACTGGTAATGAAAGATATACCAGCAGATATAAAAAAACTGTAGAGTCCTTTGGAAATCTGGAGTGATTCCTGAAAGCAGGGAATGGAAGTATATGATTTTTCAGATAACACTTTCTATATCCTGGTATATCAGACATAATAATTCTCCTTATGAGTCCTTAAGATCTACTTTTTAGTTTGTTGTAAATCTTTGATTGAAATTTCTTGACTCCCTTTCTGGTTCTCATTAGATTGCTACCTGCTCTGATGACAATACACTGAAAATCTGGCGCTTGAATAGAGGCTTAGAGGAGAAATCCGGAGATAAACTCTCCATAGTGGGTTGGGCATCTCAGAAGAAGAAAGAGGCGCGAGCTGACCTAGGTAAGGAATCCCATGCAATTTTCTAAGCTGTTCATCCTTTGATTGGTTTCATTCTACAGTACAGAATGATAAGCTATATTTGGTCTTGTCTTGGTATATTTTTAAAGGAAAGCACCATCTTTTTGACATTTATCTTTTCAGTAAATATTTTCTGAGCACTACTATGTTTATCATCTATACAAAGCACTGGAATACAGTGGTGGATTTATTTTCAAAGTATTTTTGGACATTTACTATGTGCTAGACACTATTCTGAGTTGCTGGAGATTGAGCAATGAACAAAAGAATCAAAAACCCAAAGACATAAATGAAGCTTATAGATTATAGTATGAGAGGCATAGAAACAAGTTAAAGTAAAATATGTACTACATCAGATCATAATAAGTACTTGAGCGGGGGAAAAACACTGGAAAATTAGGTGCCCAGGGAGGCCTCAATGTTTAGATGGCATTTGAGTAAAAGGAGTAAAATAGTGAGCCATGTGGGCATTTTGAAGAACATTCCAGGCAGACAAAACAGCCAATGCAAAAGTCCTGAAGTAGGAACAGGCTTGACATATTGTTTTGTTCCTTTAAGAGGCTAATGTGGCTATAGCCCCTGTGGCTGGAGCAAGCTAAGGAGAGGGAGGGGAATAGTAATGGAAAATGAGGTTCTTCTGTAATTTGACTTTTATTCTGACAGACAAAAAGCTATTGCAGGGCTTTAAATGGACAAGTATCATGCTTTTATTTTACTTGATCATTCTTACTCCTGTGTTGAAAACAAATTGTAAAGGGAGCAGTATAAAAACTGGAAGCTAATTTTAAAGTCCTTTTGAAATAATCCAGGAAGCCATGATGGTGACTTGAGCAGAAGGGTAGCAAAAGATACGGTGAGAAGTCTTCAAATTCTGGATATGTATATATGGTGGAGCCAACAGAATATGGTGTGGGATCAAATGTGAGATGTAAGGGAAAATTATCAAGGATGACTTCAGAGTTTAGAGCTTGCAAAGCTAGAAGAATGGAATTGCCATTGACCTAGACAGGAGTCACTGCAGAAGGAACAGGTTTGGGAGGGAATAGCTGAAGTTCCCTTTGGATATGGTGTTTGATATGATTATTAGACATTCAAATGGAGATGTCAGAGAGGCAGTTAGATGTTAATTCTGCAGTTTGGGGCTAAAGCTATAAATTTGGGATTCATCATCATATGACCAAGGAAGGTATAGCTAAGGAAAGAGAATAGGTCTGGGGTCTGAGCCTTAGAACACCCTGGTGTTGAGAGATTAGAGAGGTGAAGGAACAGACACAACCAGAGAAGTTAGAAAAAAAAACCAGGAGAGTATTATATTTTGGGACCCAAGTAAGTAATGGAGATGGGGATCTATTTGGTCAAATGTTTTTAGCATTCTATGTAAGAGAAGGACTGAAAATTGACCTTTGGACTTGGCAGCGTGGGGATTATTTGTGAATTTCATGAGCAGTTTTGGTGGAGTGTCATGGTCTGATGGGTGTTTAGGAGGATCAGAGAAGAGAACTTAGAGACTACAAGTATAGAAGTCTTTGTCAAGGAGTTTTGCTAGAAAGGAAAGGAGATAAATGAAGTGGTAGCTGAGGGCAAAAGTAGCATTTGTTTTGTTTTAATAGGAATACAGCATTTTAGGGCACCTGGGTGGCTTGGTCAGTTAGAGCTCAAGCCCCATATTGGCCTCTGTCTGACAGTGAAGAGCCTGGTTAAGATTCTCGCTCTCTCTCTTTCTCTCCCCCTCACCCTCTCTCCCTCCTTCTGCCCTTCCCCCACTCTTGCTTGTGCTCTCTCAAAAATAAACATTTTTTAAAAATTTTTTAAGGAATATAGCATTTTATATATGATTGGAAGGATCCTATAGAGGGAAACTTGATGCAGTGAAGTTTCCTGGAGCAATGTTCTCAAGTAAATTGTGAAGGGATGGTATCGAATTACAAGTAGAAGGGCAGGCCTTTGCCAAGAGTGTGGATAGTTCATCCATAGTAATTAGAGAGAAAGAACGTAAGTGATAAATGAGTCTGAAATAGTCCTGCAAAGAAGAGTAAGTGGGCCAGGGAAATATGGTTGTTGGGCAGTGGGTCAGCTTGAGGCTAGTGGTCATGAATTGTAAGTGAGCAGTCAGCATGGTTGTGTCTGCTTCCCAGGTACAGATACAGTACAGGTGCGGAGTTGCATTTAACCAGGGATGTGGTTTAAATCCACAAGTGTAAAGTGAGAGGAGGGCCAAGGAAGTTGAGGGTAGATATGAGAGAATGGTTGTAATGCTTGACTACAGTATTTAAACCGGGTAAGGATGGCAGTGAGCATACATATAGTGCCACGGGGGGGGGGGGGGGGGGGGGGGGGGAGGGGTAGTGTTAAAGTGATCCATGAATTAAGGATCCCCGAGGGATGAGGGATTTGGGGGATTGATCACTAAAGTGAACTGTAAGATAGCTGGTGGTTGAAACAGATAACAGAGGATTTGCAGGTTGGTAGTAATAAGGTCAAGAAGTGGCTTGAGTGAATTAAAGGACAAGGCTGTAGAAGGCCAAGAGACTGAGCAACCAAGGTATTGGAAAGACCACGTATGTGGATTTTGTAATGGCCATAATTGACAGAGACAGTGTTGAAGACAGTGATAATACACCGAAAGCAAAACTCTTCCAAGCACAGAACCAGCCAGAGGGGATTTTCATGTTATCAGATATATAGTAATAAGCTGGAGATTCAAGCTTAAAGATTCATTTTACATTAACCATCAAGGCCTAAGCTAAGGGGAGTTGAAGGTGAGACTGAATATATGCCCATTTTTCTAACGATTTAGTTCTTTAGACTCTTACAAGATGTTATAAGCAGAACTGGACTACAGGGGGGTCTTTAACTCTGAAGATGCCTTCAGTAGAGCCTTTGATGCCTTTAATTTTAGTTTTTGGTTTTTCCTCTCTTTAAAAATAATTTCTTTTATTAGTATTATAGTTTAACAAGTCAGAGAGTCCTTCAGCAGTGGATAAGATAAACAACAGATGCCCTGCCCCACAGTTCCCTTTTCTCAGGGGCAGCCACTCTCAGCCTTCTGGCTGATTCTTTGATATGTGTGTCTGTATCTCTAAACAGTATTTGTACATTTCTGTTTCTTTTGGTTTTTGTTTTGGTTTGTTTTCAACATTATCTACTGACTTCTCACTCTGTAAGATTAAGATTTCGCTCTCTGTGTTCCCACCATTTCCAAACCTCTGCACACTGTGCATTTCCCCATCTTCCCAATATAGGATCGTAATTTGGTTTGAACAGGAGTTAGTTTTTTTATTATGGTTTTGTTTTTTTGTATTCAGAAGGGAGTTACGTAGTAAATTGCTGTTACTTTTTATTTCCTGAGCTTTTTTTCCCTTGAGATTTGTTTTGTTTTGTTTTGTTAGAGACTTGTCAAGATATATTTATATACTAGAGCCCTCCTAGTGAATGTGAAGTAGTATCCATTGTGGTTTCGATTTAAATTGCCCTAATGCCTAATAATATTGAGCTTTTTTTCATGTGCTTTTTTGCCATTTGTGTATGTTGTATATAATATGTGTATACAATTTTTGCCATTTGTGTATTTTCCTTGGAGAAATGCCTCTGCATTGCCCATATTTTAATTAGACTATTTGTCTTTTTAATGTTGAGTTGTAAGTATTCTTTATGTACTCTAGATATAAGTCCTTTGTCATATAATGATTTGCAAATATTCTCTCTTATTCTGTAGGTTGTCTTTTTACTTGCCTAATGGTGTCCTTTGACACAAAATTTTCTAATTCTGATGAAATTCAATTTATCTGTTTTTTTCCTTACCATTTGTGCTTTTGATGTTATATTTAAGAAACCATTACTTAACCCAAGGTCACAAAGAGATTTTTAGTTTTAAGCCATCTGGTCCATTTTGTTTTTATTTTTGTGGACAATGTGAGGTAAGAATCCAAATTCATTCTTTTATACATGGATATCCTGGTTTCTCAGTATTATTTTTAAGAGACTATTCTTTACTCCATTAAGTTGTTTTCATACCCTTGCCAAAAATCAATTGACCATAAATGTAAGGGTTTATTTCTAGATTCTCATTCTGTTCCATTGATGTATATGTCTACCCTTATGGTGATACTACATTGTCTTGATTACTGTAGTTTTATGGCAAGTTTTGAAATTGGAAACTCCAGGCCAGTCCCCCAATTTTCTTCTTTCTCAAAAGTATTTTGGCTATTCTTGGTCTCTTGTATTTCTGATACAAATATGATACAAATATCAGAACCAGCTTGTCAATTTCTGCAAAATAGTCCCCTGAGGTTGTAACAGGGATTATATTGAATTTATAGTTCATTTTGGGGAATACAGCCATCTTATAACATGATGTGTTAATTTTTGTGATCCATGAACATAGATGTCTATCAGCTACCTTGTCTTTATATTTACTTATCTCTCTCTAGTTTTGGAGAACAAAGAGAAGAATCAAATGAGGATAAAGCCATCAGTGTTTCTACCAGTCACAAATAATTAACAGTTTAACTTATTTTTTGAGATTTTCCTCCTTTTCCACAGAGATTCTTATTAATAGAATCATGTTTATACTGTAAATACATTTGGATTTCTTGGGGATGTCTTCACTGAACATGATGTTCTAAGTACTTTCTATGTTATCTTTTTAGCAAAATATTTAAAATAGTCCACTGAGTAAATGTTCCACAGTTTATCTAGCTATTCTCTCATAGTTGGACATTTTGTTTCCAATATTTTGTGAAACTTTTTTCTGATTTTAGGGTTCCTTCATCCCATTAAAATAGATTCCCAGAGGTGGCATTTCTTTGATAATTGCTGTAACCATTTTAAGAGTATTAATGAAAAATTTAGTTGCTTTTAACTAATTATTTTTAGTGTGTCATTAATTATTCTTGGTTTTAGAAACCAAGTCACAAAAAGAGTTACACGTGCTGACCAAGTTTGGACCATAATGATAGCAACAACATTTAGCCATTATTGAGTATGAGCACAGTTATTCTAAGGACCACTTGGATTATCTTATTTAGTTTCCCAAACAGCCAAAATTGAAGCTCAGAAGTTAGGCTTGCCTAAGATCACTCATAGCTGTTGAGTTTGTTGTAGAACCGGAGTTCAAACACCTGCAGTCTAGTTTTAGAGCACCTGCTTGGAAGCATTCTGCAGTACTGCCTCCTTTAGAACCCAACAGAGGAAAACAAGGTTCAAGTTAAGACCCAACCAAGATTTCTCCCTTCAGGGTGCTGCTAGAGTTACTTGAAGAGCACTACAGAGAAGCAGCCCCACGTGAATGCCAAAGGTTGGCATGTTGGGTATTCAGCCCTGTAACCCAGCTTCCAGCAACAGATTGGTTGCTGTTAGTCACACTCCCATTTTGAAAATTATGGTCCTCTGCTTTCCCAGGCTCCTAATTGCCACCCCAGTCCTTCACTGTTGTCCTGGGCTTTCTGTCTTCTCTTCTGGACCTTTTAACACACTAACTAGAAGGCTTTAAACCCGAGGCACAGCCCCTTTTCCCTCCCTCTGCCCTACTTTTCCCAGCCAGCACCTGGTCTATCGCTTACTATTGTTTCACTGTTTCAGCCGGCAATCTCAGTACTGTCAAGGCAAATGGCTTTCAACCCTGGCTGTGCATCCTAACCATTTGTGGAGCTTTTTAAAAGTGTGTGTGTCCCCAGAGATTATTCAGTAGGTCTGGGGTAGGGGCCAAGTACCTGTATTTTTATAAAGCTCCAAGTAATTCTGGTAGGCAGCCAGGATTGAGAACCCCTGGTCTAGGCATTATTGAGTGACAAAGATGATTGTCCTTATCTTAAAGCCAAGGAAACCTTACCTGTTCTGTCATGTGCTTGCTATAGTCTCACAGGTCTGCAGAATACTTACAGAGTCTGTTTTTTGATGCATGGAACCTCACTGTCATCCCTCTGAGCAGTAATGAAATTTCACAAACATTGTTTAATAATTCTTCGCTGGGAACTTCAGGGGCACTAGACCTAAAAATGAGTAAATCATCATCACCTGCCTTCTAGGTGCTCACAGTCTAGTCCAGGAGGCAGATAGAAAAGCCATAGTATGTTGTAAACATTTCTCTTAGCTGTATGAATAAAACACTGTATAAACAAAAGGAACCTACTTCCTGTGGGAGAGGAGGAAAGAAGTTTGTGAATTCTTCACAATGAAAGAAGTTTGTGAAATCTTCACAATGAAGTTAACGGTTGTCATCAGAGCCTGAAACATGAGGAGAACTTTTGCCTGGCCAAGAAGGGGCAGACTTGGCAAGAAAGCCACATGAACAAAGACAGAGATGTGACAGTGCGCATCTTGTTTAGGAAGCATTGAGTAGTCTCCTGTAACAGGAGCCTAAAGTAGCAGTACACGATATGACCGAAAAGGTGAGCTGAGGCTAGATGGCAGACTCTTACACAGAAAGAAGCTACAAAGTGACTGATTATTAGTAAGCTCTCTATAATTCCTCAAAGGAACTGGCTTGCAGGAGGCTCTTAGGGCAGTAATGCAGTCTGTGATGCCGTGTCATCAGATCTCACACAGTGCTTAGGGTCAGTGGGGCTTCAGCAAATGATATACTAAATAGCCCTGTCATATTTAAATCGATGCACCAGTATAGTGACCTACTGTGTCGCTGTTAAAAAGAATGCATTGTATCTAAGTGTACTTCTAGAGATCTAGAGAAAAAAAGCACTGTTTAGAGAAAAGAAATTACAGAATGTGTGTATGTGGTGTATGTGTAATAATCCATTGTTGGGTTCTTAAGGTCTGATCTACCTTTTGTGTGCTACTGGCATCTAGAAAATTGTGGGATGCATAAGAACAGGAGTAAAATCAGAAGGTTGAAAAGAGGGATTTTTACTTTTCACTTCATTTCCCTTTGTAACTGAATTTTTTTTTACCATGAAATTTCATTATCTTGATAATCTAATTATTATTTTTTTAAAAAGATTTACCTTTGGCCCAGAGTTTTGTTAACCTTCAAAGTTAATAAAATCTTCTCTTTGAAACCCCATGGTCCCCTCCTTCCTCTATTTCAACATCCTAAAGGAAGAGAAATGCCCCAGCTTTCCACCACATAAGATCTCCCTCTGACCTTTAGTAAACACTTCAGATGTCTGCTACTCAGGTATCAGAAACCTAGATACCTGCTTGGCCCAGGGCCCAGCCTTTCCCTTCTCTCCTAATCCTGCATTATAATGAGTCTGCATATTGTAAGACCCTCGCTATTTTAGGACCTCCTGCCTTAACCCTTCAGCCCACTCTCATGGAACTAATAACCATAGGGGCTGTGCAGTGACTGTTGACCTGTGCTGAGGAGTGAAACAAATGAAAAGTTTCTGTCCTCCTGAAATAATGACTGACCAAGCTCTAGAATATGAGTATGAGAACTGTCACCAGATGCTTCAGAGACAGTTTATGTCACTAACTCTCCTTCTGTAGCCTGTTATGCAAGAATGGATTTTGCAGTAATGATCTTAATTAAAGGAGCAGTATCACTGTGGCCACTTCTGAATATATTGTTGATGGGGAAAGTTTAGGCAACAGTCAATTTGTAGAATTTCTGTCTCAAGGCAAAACTGCTTGAAAAAAGGTAGAACATATAGAGTAACTAAATGGCTGAAATTAGTGCTTGTAAGTCTGTTTTCTAGCCATAAGAGAGATTGTCTTTTTATGTCAGCTCATCCTAAATTCAGTTGCATATAAATGCAATTCAGTAATTAAACTGAATTAAATATCAGAGTTATAATACAAAGAGTTTGTGACTTAGAAATAATTGATGACCTTTCCTTGTTATTGGAGATAGGAACACTATTTGAGAAATCTAGAAAGCTCAGAAGAAAAATAATACAATAATTTGTATTACAAATTATAATATACAAATTATAATACAAATACAAAAATAATACAATAATACAATAAAAAATAATACAATAAAGACAATACAGAGTTGTCTGTGGTAGGGCTGAAGTGGGAAGAAGCATGAGGCTTATAAGAATTTTCCTTAAGTGCTTGCCATTGCTTGTAAACAAAGGACAGACAGGACTCAGAGAAGAGTTCTGCCCACTGATTTGCTTTATTGAGAGCAAGCATTTCATTTTGAAAATGGCATTATTTGGCTTGCGGAAATTAGCCATTTATAAATTAAGGTGGAAAGCCAAGTGAGGCCTAATAACTTTAAAAAGTAATTGATGGTATTATTTCTTGTAGACATTAAAAGTTCTCCATTTAATAGGTATGGAAACTGAAGTAGAAGCAGAGGAGGTAAAGGGTTGTGGTCAAGTCAGTAGTAAGTGGTCGTGCCAAATTTTAGACCCATGCGTTTCTGTTTGGGAACCACTGTGCAGTGCTTCTCTGCCCTCACATTGCTCAAAAGCATATACAGAAATTCTAATGGCAACTTTACTTATAAAAACAAAATATCATTAACAACTTAAATTACTTGCTGTTATCTTAGAATACTTGGTAGCTATTAAAAATTGTAATATACGTCTATATTAATGTGGGGAATGTTCGTGATAAGCAGGTTACTGAATAGTGTATACTTTATGGTCTCTTTTGTATAGAAAAAATTTGAGGTGTATAATAATGTATATATTACATGCACAAGTATAGGGGAAAATGCTATAAGTGGTTTACCTGGATGATTTAAAATTTTTTCCTTTAATTTTTCTGTATTTTCTAGATTATTACAAGTATATGTTTTACAACAGAGTTGTTGGCAGGCTGGCAGTTAGGAAAGAGGAGGGAATAAGCTGAAAGGGTGTGGTAAGAATTAAGTAATTTATATAATCTACTCACTGGGAAATCCATTCCTATACGAGTAAGTTAGCTATAATTTTCCTTGATGAGAATTCAAGGATTTTCTATGGCTTTCTCCTCCTGAAAAGACCCTCTGTTCTTTTTCAGTAACAGTGACAAGTAGCCAGAGTACTCCTGCCAAAGCCCCCAGAGCAAAGAGCAGTCCATCTATTTCTTCCCCGTCATCAGCAGCTTGTGCTCCCAGCTGTGCAGGAGACCTCCCTCTTCCTTCAAATACCCCCACATTCTCTATTAAAACCCCTCCTGCCAAAGCCCGGTCTCCCATCAGCAGAAGAGGTTCCGTGTCCTCAGTCTCTCCCAAGCCACCCTCGTCTTTCAAGATGTCCATTAGAAACTGGATGACCCGAACACCGTCCTCATCACCACCCATCACTCCCCCTGCTTCTGAGACCAAGATCACGTCTCCAAGAAAAGCCCTCATTCCTGTGAGTCTAAAATCATCCCAAGCAGTGGCGTGCTCTGAGTCCAGAAATCGAGTAAAGAGGAGGCTGGACTCCAGTTGTCTGGAGAGTGTGAAACAGAAGTGTGTGAAGAGTTGCAACTGTGTGACTGAGCTTGATGACCCAGTGGAAAAGCTTCATTTGGATCTGTGCTGCCTTGCTGGTAGCCAGGAAGACCTTGGTAAGGACTCTCTGGGTCCTACCAAACCAACCAAGATTGAAGGAGCTAGTAGTATGAGTATCTCAGAGCCTCCTTCTCCTGCCAGTCCTTATGCTTCAGAAAGCTGCGGAACACTACCTCTTCCTTTGGGATCTTGTGGAGAAGGGTCTGAGGTGGTAGGCAAAGAGAATAGCTCCCCAGAGAATAAAAACTGGTTATTGGCCATGGCAGCCAAACGGAAGGCTGAGAATTCATCTCCCCGAAGTCCATCCTCCCAGACCCCCAGTTCCAGGAGACAGAGCGGAAAGACTTCTCCAGGCCCGGTAAGTCGGCAGTGGTGGGAAGACACATTTACTAACTTGAAAGGGACCAGTGAGAAGATACATTCTCTAACTGGAAGAGGTCAAAGACAAGTACAAATCTTGTCTCAGAAGTCAGGATTTTTTTTTTTTTTTTTTTTTAGTAAATCTGCTTATACCTAGGGTTGCCAGATTTAACACATAAAAATTCAGGACAGGGGCGCCTGGGTGGCTTAGTCAGTTAAGCGTCCGACTTTGGCTCAGGTCATGATCTCATGGTTCATGGGTTCAAGCCCCGCATCAGGCTCTGTGCTGACAGCTAGCTCAGAGCCTGGAGCCTGTTTCAGATTCTGTGTCTCCCTCTCTGTCCTACCCTCCCCTGCTCATACTGTCTCTATCTCTCTCTCAAAAATAAATAAAATATTTTTTAAAAAGTTCAGGACAAATATTGCATGGGAAATAGTTATACTAAAAATTCTTTATACTAAAAGATATTTGTTTGAAGTTCAAATGTAACTATGTGTTGCTGTATTTTATTATCTAGCAACACCATTTACTCCAGTTAAAATCCCTTTTGTGAAGGCCCATAACCCTCAGCCCTGGTGCCTGATTCCTCAAAGCTTTCATCCTCTAGTATATCAGTTCAAAAATATCTTCTTTCTGGGGCGCCTGGGTGGCTCAGTCAGCTAAGCGTCCAACTTCGGCTCAGGTCATGATCTCACGGTTTGTGGGTTTGAGCCCCATGTCGTGCTGTGTGCTGACAGCTAGCTCAGAGCCTGGAGCCTACTTCAGATTCTGTCTTCCTTTCTCTCTGACCCTCCCCTGCTCACACTATCTTTCTCTCTCTCTCTCTCTCAGAAATAATAAATATATATATCTTCCTTCTTCTTTGTTTGGCATTATTCCCTCCCCAGCCAACCCCTGCGTTTTCTTTTTATTTTCCCCACTCCCCAGCCCCTGGCAACCACTTTTTATAGGTTCCCTCCCCTTTTTATAGATAAAACTGACATTCATGGGCAAGTTACCAACATCCATGAATAGATTTACAGTTTGTTAACTACAGTTTATGACTATCTCAAATACAGTGAAATTTAGATACTTAAAACAATTTAAATGCAGAATCCTTCCAGGTTTTTATTGTTTTCCCCAAATTTTTTTACCATCACCTTGCTCACACTAGTATTTTTGGCAATTCACCTGTATCTATACTTTGTAAACATTCAGCTTAGTTTCACTTACCTTTTTAGGACTTCTATTTCATTGACTGACATAATATTTAAGTTAAATAATTTCAAAAACATGTATTGCTGGCAGAAAGAAGTTTGTGAACCTTGAAAAGCAAAGGACCTATTGTAATGGTGGAGGGAAAAGTATCTGTAAGCATTGGGTGAGTATGGGCACAGGTCAAAAGGACTAGAAAGCTTCAGGTTATCAGTTTGCAAGTGAAAGCGGGGGTAGGTTAGTGAAGTTTCTGCTATGATTCATAGTAGCTCTTGCTCTGTGCTAAGGAGAAGGTGGTAGAATGATTAAAATCCAAGCCAAGAATCTAAAAGGTTGGATAGCCTCAAGTCAGTTCTAGTTTAATAAGTGCTCATATCCCCCTCCTACTCTCCTGAAGCCTATCCCATAATTTTAGGGAAAATAAACTAGAAATTTATTTTATTTTTTTAATGTTTATTTATTTTTGAAAGAGGAGAGACAGAGCATGAGCAGGGGGTGGGGGGAGGGGGCGAGAGAGAGAGAGAGGGAGACACAGAATCCAAAGCAGGCTCCAGGCTCTGAGCTGTCAGCACAATGCAGGGCTTGAACCCACAAACTGTGAGATTGTGACCTGAGCCAAAGTGGAACGCTTAACCGACTGAGCCACCCAGGTGCCCCTGGAAATATTTTAAAGATTACTTCGAGCACAAACTCCAACCAAGACCTTGCTACAGAACATGGGAAAGAAACAGCTATCTGGAATCTTTTCTTTCTTCCCCTAAAATTATCTTTGTATCTGTTTTTTGCCTCTAACCAAAATTCTTTTTTTCCAGATCTGGTCTCAGCTATGTGTTAGAAAAATAATTTCAGTGAAAAATTGTTTTCACTAATGTGTAAATTTTTAAAGCTTTTAAAAATAGTGTGCCAGTCCCATATATTTCTGGTTTAATAATTTCAATCTTTGAAGCTAAAGTTTCTTTAGGAGATTTTTCTTCTTTATGTGCATAACGATAAGACTTCCTCAGAGAAGGGTAGCCACTGCCATTTAAATCTCTATCCCATTTGTAAATTTGGGAGGGGGAGGTGATTTACTTGTTTCTTTCAAAGAGGAGGGTTATTATAACCTTTGGGTCTTATTAGGAAGTTTAACTGGTAAATATTTTCTGTTCACGTGAAAAATCTATGCTTTCCATTCTTATATATGTCTATTAAATTTTATTAAATTCAGTACAAATCAGCCAAAAGAGATATTGCCCTCGAAGTATTTGGGACTTGAATAATCAAATTTCTAGGCATCCCACTTTAAAATACCCTTTAGTGATAACTTGCTGAAGTAACAGCTGAACTTTATCTTACAAAATCTCGGAAATCTAACCTTTCTTTTTCTAGGTCACTATTCCTCCCAGCTCCATGAGGAAAATCTGCACATACTTCCATAGAAAATCCCAAGATGACTACTGTAGTCCCGAACAGTCAACAGAATTATAGATTCTAATCTGAGTGAGTTAACTGAACTTTGGCCCCTTAAAAAAAATACAACAGAGTGATTCAGTAACTGATCTTTAAGAAAGCTACCATTTTTCATTATCAGAGAAAAATCCTTTCAATTCTGAAGTTTCGCTACTCTGGTTCTAAGCTTATATGCAGCATCCTTGAAGTGAATGCTGTGTTTAAATTCCATAAAGTAAGTCGGTCACTCTGTAACATTTTGAGTGAGTAGTCTTCACTTTTTAAATTATGCCTCTTCTTTGTAATAATGACATCCCAGCTCATAGAGGCAAAAAGCAAGACTTGTCTCTTGTTACTCTGAGACTGTGGGTACACAGTGGAAAATATCTGCTGGTCACAGCAGGAGGCCTGTCTGTGAAGGCCAAGGGCTGAAGAAGTCTTCTGCTGGGGACCCCTGGATCTGTGCTGCCTCAAACAAATATAATTTCATTTAAAATTTATATATAATCTTTTCACTACACTTTTGGTTTTTTATTTTGTTTTGTTTTTAGTATGTGTAATAATGTGACGTTCAGATAAGTACGTTTATATTGATTCAGTGTTAAACAACAGTCTCTTAAGTTAAAGTCATCTTTATTTTAAGAGCAGTGATAAATGTCAACACTTTGGAGAAACTAGGAGAACAACACTAGAAACCTTTACCTGGCCTTTATCCCCCAAATATATTTCCCATATGAGACTGTGATCCTTATATTTTTACTAAGCAATTTACTATGTAGCAACCCAACATCGTGTTCTATAAGAGGTTACGGTTTTGCCATTTAGTAGACAAAGATACTTATAAAATCAATAGTCCTGCATTGAAGCTGGGGTATGAAATCCGTCCTCAGTTTGCTAAGGCTGCAAATTTTTCAAAATATATGTCATCAAATTTTAAGAAAAAGTAATCATTTCTTATTGATACTTTCATAAAAGAAGATAGCTCTAAACTGAAAACCCAGAACCTAAAAAACAACTCTTGGCTTTTAACTTGATTTTTTGGATTTTCTTCATATATATATGAGGAAAGAAAACAGTGACGCTCTAGAATAGCTCTGAGCTGAAAAGTCATGGAAATTTCTCTAGATATTTAATGTAGAAGATGTTTAGGCTGACTCTAAGTTAATAGTGTACAAAATATCTTGAGCATCTTCTTTAACCAACAGTTTCATAGCAATCATCTTGAACTAAACTGTTGTTTTATATTTGTCCCCTTTACAACCTCATAGAAACAAGCTCCATGTACTTTCTATGTGCTACGTCCTTGGAAGGGACTCCCCAAACTATCATGAAACTTGATTCATTTTATCCATAACCCTGAGAAATGTGTGGAGTTTATTCATATTTTTGTCATAATTTAAAAAATCTATTCTTAATGACAACTTTTTAATTCTTCATTCCTATAAGTCAAGCTTGTAACAACCAGAACTACGTATGTTGATTATACATGGTTTTCTCCAAGGAGAAAAATAAGGGAAGGCACAGAATTGCTGTTTTTGAAACAAAGCACTCCATAGCATTAACTGAATATTTAGGAATTCTACTTATAATTGGTGTTTGATTTTTGAATGTTAGGCTGTGGGAAAGGTTGTTTATGACCATTTCTGCTAATAATGATATCTGTCTCTTCCTTTGAAAGCCAAGTGGGGGGAAAAAAGGATAACTAGATAATTATATTCTTTGTATCCTTGAACATCTAACAGCTCTACTGAGTGAAATTGGGGTAAATGTGTGCTGAGAGTCTACTGGCTGTAACATGTCCCACTTGGAAAACTAGTACTTCAAATGGGTGCCAAAGGTCAAATGTAATGAGATAATAATTATCCTTGCCTCTGTCAGTGTCAGACTTTGAGCTGATCCTGAATAATAAAGCCTTTTACCTTATCTGATACCCTTTTCTGAGCTTTTTGCATTAGCCTAGAAGCAGTCTACACAAAAGAACTGTAGTAGTAATCAAGAATCCCTTCTACTTGTTCATTGAATAAAATTTGTTTATTCCCAAGGATATGATCTAGTTCAAGCTGAAAGAGGTTTTAATAAACATGTCCTGCTTGGTCAGACCTTGAGCGCTTAAGATGGCTTGGATTACTTGATGTAGTAGGGTGGAGTGATGTAGTTCTTTTTCTAAACAAGTATTTCCAGCCCAAGCTTTTCCGTTTGAATACACTCCAAGCATTATTGCTGCAGTGCTGTGTTAGACTTTCCTTTGGCTGTTTCATCACAGGCCCTTAATTTACTTTTGTGAGGGTTGACTAATTAGTCCTTTAAAATGTTTCCTTTAATCTGGGCTGCACATTTAACTGAAGATAAATCAAAACCATCTGTAGCTACCCCTGTTGGACTGGCAGAGGGTGAATTCAGCTCACCACGCCATCTCTGGCCCTAAAAGCTTAAAACTTTACTAAGGCTTTTGGGAAACCCAGTATAGGAAGCATTTTTTTTTAAAACCTCAACTGTGCAATATGGATGCCTGGAGATAACTTTTTAAAGTGTGTGTGTGTGTTTGCTTTAGTCCCCAGCTTGACATTAGTCTATGATCATGATCTTGTATAGGACATACATCAATTCAACATGTGCTTTTTGAGACCCTATCATAGCAGATAAACTGCTGCTCTCAGGTCAATTTTTCCCGGACTTCCCTTTACACTGCTCATAAAGCAAAGACCAAGTAGTTTCATAGAATCAGTTCACAACTAGGTAGCATGAGTGGCATTTTACAGAGATGCATCAGAAGAGAGACTGGATGAGAATGTCATGTTGAGGAAACTGAGTCATTGTCCTCCACATGGCAGTCAAAGGGCTGAATATGAGTCCAGTGAGCTCTTGCTCATCAGGTCTCCCTCCTTCTCAACAGGACTTCATAGGAGCTAGGAGATTCTTTGGCTGCCTAGGTTTGGATCTTATCACATCATGAACTAACTAACCGTCACTCATTAAATTCTTGAGAATTATGGAAAACGCTGCTTTATGCATTAGTTCTTTAGATATTGGTTAAAAGTTATGGGGAGGACAAACATAACATTTTGGTGGACATGAGGTGAGTCTAATGCCTCATTAGATGTAGTACTAGGAATACAGCCCAGCATTGTTCTGAGGGACCCATTTTGTTGTCTAAAGTGGTAGAAAACCTTTTTTTTATTTCTGAGCTATGTTTAAATGCCTGTTAAAAAGTGCAAGGGTCATTAGGGAATGTTGTAGGGTAAAGTCAGTCTTTTAAAAAAATCACCTGAGCGTATTAAGCAGCTTGTTCACATCGGTACACTTACAGCAAGTACATAGAACACAAATAAGAAGTATTATATTATTAAAGAATAGGCTTATTCCATCCCCAGAGCTTATCCCTCCCATTTCCTGGCTAAGCCAAGAAAGAGGATTTCAAGGATATATAACCAGGTTCTTTATTTTGAATTTCAAAGATTTAGTATTCCATTTATACTTCATTTCTCTTTATTTCCTTAACTTGCCACATGCCCCTTCCTGTTTTGACATTCCAAATAATCTGTATTCAAGCCATTTTGTGGACTATGAATAGCACATTTCAAAGTACCTTTGACTGGAAAGCTTTCAATTCAGTCAACATTTTATTCATCACCTGGTTCCAAGCCCTGTGTGAGGCACCTGGTCTGCAGAGTTCTTCTCTTTATTTTTGGTTGTCAAAGGAGTCACTTTACCAGTGGTACTTCATTAGGCTAAAGTCAGCATTTGAGAGAAACAGGCAAAGATCAGATTTTCAAGTCCTTTGAGTGAAGTTGTTTGTGAACAGCGATCAATGCGGCAAGTGTTCTCTGGATGCAATGCAGACTCATCCCTCCAGGTACTTCATTCAGCAGTTTCTTAGAGCACCTTAACTTTTCAAAGTAAAATGTTTTTCTCCTGCATGTTTCTATTATAGTCTTTACAATGTTGTGAATAATGGGTAAAAAAAGAAATGTTCTCTATAGCCAAATGCCTAGCTTTGAATCCAAGCCCTAGCTGTGTGACATTGGGCAAGTTCCTTAACCTCTCTATGAATCATTTTTCTTGTTTGTAAAATGGGATTGTGTGGTTATTATATGTAGAGGTCTTGGGACAGTGCCTGGCACTTAATAGCTATTTATTGAACAATTACTGTTAGCTATTACTCTCAAAGTAGGGAGAGCAGGAGTCTATCCTTATTGGATAAATGGACATAAAGGTTTAACTTTCCATTTCTTAATCGTTCCTGTTCATTCATGTTCCACTAGAGCCATGGTCCTCAAAGGTATGGGAATTAAATGAGAATCACTTGGGAAGTTTTTTTTTGCTGTTGCTCATGTTGCCTCAGCCTCCCAGTCCTGACACTTTTCAAAAGGAGCAAATAGACCTCTGGGAGAGGGGGAAAAAACTCCACACTTTCACAGGTGCTTGAGATTCATGAATCTTTCCCACCAGGTACACATGAAAATTACAGAGGTTATTTCATATGTGGCCTCAGCCAATGTTCAAAGAGGCTATAATTTGCAAATCTGTATGTAACCTGGACTTCTAAGCAAGTCACACATTTGCTCACAGAGCCCATCCTCCCACTTCCTGACTGCTGCCCCCAGCTCTACTATACTGTTCAACACGTGTTCACTTTTAGGGACGAAGCTGCAGCTGGCTGGCCTTTAGTGCTAGTTCTCGATCACTTGTTAGGCTATTGTGTTCCCTGGCCAGTGGGAAGGCAAATAAGAGATGAAGCTCAAAGCAGGCCATGTGGCTCCCTTAGTACAATGCAAGATTCAAACATTTGATGGAGGAGTAATGTGTAGACTCTAGATTCTTTTTTCTCACCTAATGAGATTCTTCCCTGAACTTCTATTTGGTACCTGTTGACAGTGTCACATCAGTGCCAAAATACCAGCCATGAAGGTTTCTATGACATTATGGTAGACAGATGCAACATCAGGGTTTCTCTTGGCATCTGAGCATCAAATTATGCTGCCACTGCCACTGTTCAAGACCCTGTTTCCAAATAGGAACTTACAGAATGTGGCATTCTCTTATTAGCTGGCATCTGCACCTCTGCAAACAGATGGGCCCACCATGCTCAGCCCCCTTCCTGGGTTGGTGCCAAAATTATCAGTTCAAATGAAGATGTTAAGGGCTATTTTTTTTCCTGTTATTGGCTACTCACTTTTAATTTTGTTTTTTTTAAGGCTTATTTTTGAGAGAGAGAGAAACACAGTGTGAGCTGGGGAGGGGCAGGTAGGGAGACACAGAATCCAAAGCAGGCTCCAGGCTCAGAGCTGTCACTGCAGAGCCAGACGCGGGGCTCAACTCATGAACTGTGAGATCATGACCTGAGCTGAAGTTGAACGCTTAACCGACTGAGCCACCCAGGCACCTCAGCCTACTCACATTTAAAGTCATAGTGTAAAAGTACGGTAATTGTACAAATGAGGCCTTCCCCTAGCAATATACTACCAGATAATATATATAACTGAAACAGACTATAAATAAACCATCTGGCCTTGCTATGTTGACTTGAAATTAGCAAATATTGTCATAACACATCATTCAATAATCATTCCAAACCACTATTCCCCTTTTTAATTTCTTTTCCACCTTTTTTCCATAACCTATAATCACAATATTCCAAAAATTACTTAATAAGAAGAATAGTATGGCTTATTAAGTGTAACTGAAATAATAGTGATACAGGAACTGAAATAATTAAAACTAAAATCCAGTAGGCATTGTTGCCTCTGTAACGGGTCATTATTTGGCCCACCATTTGATGTCAAGTTGGAAATGCTGCTTCCTCAAAAGCCTTCTTGAATTTAGATAACTTTATGTGGAAGTAAGAGACTCAGAGTCCAAAAATCACTATCTCTACAAGGGTTGACTGACAGACAAGTCGAAGTGAACATTAGTAACTTCAGGTTAGGGGTATGAAGAGCATAGCAATGCTAATCCTTTCCCAGCTCCCTAATGAGGCAATTAGGTATTGGCCTTAAAGTGCTGAACCTGTAATTAAGTTTCTGGCTTTGGAAAACTATGTCCTAAAACCAAGAGATATAAGCAACAGTCTGGAACCCTAACCAGAGTCTAGAGGATAAGGAAAATTAGAATGTGGTTTTTTGATGATTAGGAATGGTTTCTCTTCCAGCCAACTCTCTTGTACAACAAATTGCATGAGAAGGTGCCATTCAGAGCAACTTGTTAACTTGACTTGCCTCCCTGTTTACTTTGACAGTATTTCTAGTCCCATTCACTTTTTCCTTTTCCATGTTATGTTGCCCACTGAACTCAGTTGAATAGTGCTTAACGTCAGGGCTGTGGATTTGATTCCCAAATGGGCCAATTCACTTCACTCTGTTCTGTGGCCACAGGCAGCATCTCCCTTGCCTACCCTAGCCAGCTGCCCCAGAAAGGAGTGAGAAAAGTAGTTAGGTTCAGTATAAACACTGGAGACAAACCCATAGAATATATCTTCACTACATAACCTGAAGGCATTTTGAAAGCCTGTCTTTCTCCCTAAAGACCAAGTTTATAAACTTCTTTTGACCAAATTTATATAGATTGCTTCACATAACACACAGAATTGCTCTATAGGTGGGTATAATTTGTTACCCATATTTTGGCAGATAAGGGAACTAAAGTACAAAGAGGTTAAGTCATTAACCCAAAGACACATAGCCAGCAGTTTGTGGATTTGGTCAGACTCAAAGCCCACAGTCTTAGTTCCCATAATATAATGCCTCACAGAAAGAAGCTTGTCCCTGGCCCCCTATTAATCAAATATATGCTTTCTATTTTGTGCACACTTGAAAGAGAAAAACTCTCAAAATGTTCCAAATATATTTCCTCTTTGAGTAATATATGAAAAAAATCTTAGATTTTTGGAGAGGAAACCATTAACTACCAGCGCTAGAAGCTAGAACCCTTACTGATAAGGTGTGTTACAGGAACATAAGATTAACAAACATGATTGAATGTGGAAAAAACAGGAACAGAGGCACAGAAGTTAAAACTCTTCAGAAAACGGGAAAGGCTTACTCACAAATGTAGGGGAGATACTGAAGAATGGAAAGGAGGATATACAAAACCTCTGACCCAGCAATTTCACCCCTACACTCCAGGGAAGTTCACGTGCACTGAGCACGAAAACGAAGATGTTCAGGGCAGTATTGTTTATATTGGCCAAAGCCTAGAAACAACCCAAATGTTCATCCACATTAGAATGGATAAACTTGGATACTCATGATAGAACAGTATGTAACCATGAAATGAAAAAGAATAAACTAGCTACATACAACATGAATGAATGTTAGAACAGTGAACAAAAAAAGCAAGAAACAAGCATATGCATGCAATATGATTCTGCTCATGTCAAGTGTTAACAAAAAATGTAATACTGAACTAGTATGGAAGGGTACATACATATGTGGTAAAAGGCAAAACAAAGATCATGATCACAATAAATCAAGACAGTGGATCCCCCCAGAAGGTTGTACTTGGGAAGTGATGGGGGGGACTTCCTAGGATATGGCAAGGTTCTCTCTTCCCCTGCTTGGTTACATGGGTGTTTACATCACAATTCTGTCTTGCATTTATGTTATACACATGTTTCTGTATGTTTCATGATTCATGATTTTTAAAGGCTTTTGAAAAGGAATGAAGATTAAATAGTTCTATAGAGACGATTAGGTAAGACGTAGGGATAGAGAAATTCTAGATAGATTTGATAATAACAAGTTTTCAAGTGGAATAAGGCACTAGGGAAGTCTGTGGGATCTTTTTAATACTTTCTAAGGAAAAAGGAGAATCCTCTGTTCCCTCAAAGCAGAAGGATGAACTGACTTGCACTCACTATATTCATTCAGTTTTAAAGAAAAGAACTGATCCTTTAGCAAACCGTGCAATCGCTCAGATATGGGGTTGGGATTTTCATAACTGGGACTGAGCCAGAAGCTAGCAGGTAGGACGAGTTAGAAGAGAGGGTCCTGCTGCATTTGACCTCCTAAACTCTTCACATTAAGTACGTTTCTTCCTTTTTCCTTCTTCCCCACATATATTTTCTTTCTCTCCCCAAGGTCCATCATCAAATCAAGGCAGAAACAAGCCATGGAAATCAAATTCATATTTTCAAGATGCAGAAACTGGCCTGGGGAACTTAACCAATTTGACTAAGGTCACAAAACCAGATAGTGGCAGAATCCATTCTGGCACCCCACATTCTTTGTACCCTAGTCTTCCTGATCTACTCTAGCCATTTCTCTACATACCATTTTTAAGATCCAGTTCAAACCCTCCTGCCTTCCTGTAAGAGTTATTCACAGATTTTCCTAAAAAAATCTTCCTTCCACTCAGCCCCATGCGTGGTGCCTTGTTTTAATGCCCTCAGTAGCGCTTGTCACATTTGTCTCAGATTTATTTCTGTATTCCCTCCACCAGATTATATCCTCCGAAATGTCAAACTGGTCTTATTCATTTCTGCATACTCAATGGTATCCTCATGAAAGCCAATTCTTAAATACTCAGGAATTGTATGAGCGGGTTGTTAAAATATTGGTAGCTGGAAATCAGTCCTGTTGAGGGTCCTTACACCATGGAGTAAACAAAAGCTGCAAATCAGGGCTCCCCCCACTCCCAGGGAGCCAGGCTACTAGCCAGCCCATCACAGTAAGAATCCCACCACCACCACCAGCCACCTTTAGACTTGCTGTGATGCAAGGCAATTCCAAGAAGCGTGAAGACAAAAGGGAACCAGTACAAGCGCAGACCAAAAAGCAAAGAGAATTCAAAAAGCATCAGTTCAGGAGCCCAGGAAAGAGAATTTTTTGAGAAATAGGTGGTTTACTGCTGCAGACAAGTTAGGAAGGTGGGAGCTTGAATAAGGCCAGCACGTCTTTGTCCTTCTCAAGAGCTTTTTCAGCAGCATAATAAGGATGAAATGTGGCCAGGAATGAAAAGATAGGCAGTAAATGTAGATGCCTTTCTAAAAAAGAAAGTAATTTCCTTATTAAGCAGCTATTTGCTGAATACCTATTTGTATCAAGCATTGCACTAAACAGATAACATACAGGCTGTCCTCAAGCTGTTCCCTGATGCTTCCGGCAGGCAAGAGAACATTGAACACAATGTGGTGAGGGCTGTGATGAAGACATGATGTGGGCCCTGTGGGAGCACATCAAACTGAGCCTGCGCATTCAGGGAAAGTTTCACACTAAAGCTGACTGAGCTGAGCCTTAGAGAAAAAACATTTTCCAGGTAAGTGAAAGAAGGATATTCCTCACAAAGGAAATAGCGGTCTGAGGGAGTGAGGAAGAGTGGCCTGTCTGAGGAACTCTTAAGTAGTTCCAGTTTCCTGTTAGAGCTGGAGCAGAGGGAACACATAAAACACCAACAGGAGATGAGGCTGCAGAGGCCAACAGGGCTCCGGGCATAAACACCCCTACGGTGCCGCCATACTGAGTTTGAACTTTGTCAAAGACCCTGGACAGTCATTGAATGACTAAGCAGGAGATAAGCACAATCATATTTTTATTTTAGAAAGATGATTCTGGTAGCAATGTGAAGGGTACATTGGAAAGGGACCGGCCTTCCGGCAGTTCACCCAGTCAGAAGGAGACTGTGGTAATCTAAGCAGTAAGGAGGGGAGCCTGAAGTGAAGGAATGGTTCATGTATGAGGATATTGCCAGTTTGAAAGATACTCCTGAAAGGGCAAACTAGTGTTTTCTTAGGTGGGTAAAGGAGGCATCATGAATCCCAGGATCCTAGCACTGGTAACTGGGCAACAGTGGTATCATTTGGGGAAGGGAGATACAGAGATGAGAGAATTGTAAAAGATTGTTTTCCTTGGAGACACCTAATGGACAGCCATTGGAGATGCCCCATCGATAGTTGTATACATACAATTGGAGCTCTGGAGAGCAGTCTGGAGTGGAAAGCATCTTCAATGTTAAAAGAATAGTTAAAAGGGGAGCTCACAGAGATTAGCCAGAGAGAGAATGTGTAACACAGTGGCTGTCAAACTTGAACAAGCACCTACTAGTTTTTGATTCTGGGGGTTTAAGGTGGGACTTGAAAAAATCTGCATTTCTAACAAGTTCCCAGGCTGTGCTGATGCTGCTGGTCTGGGAATCACACTTGGAAAACCATCCAGCATTTGGGGATGATTAAAGAAGTGACAGAAGTGAGTGAGGAGTCATTTTAGGAAGAGGTGGTCAGGATAGCATTTCAGGAAATACAACTGAATAAAGACAGGCAAGATGAAGAACAAATAATGACAACTACAGGGGCGCCTGGGTGGCTTAGTGGGTTAAGCGTCCGACTTTCGCTTAGGTCATGATCTCGCGGTTCGTGGGTTTGAGCCCCGCGTCGGGCTCTGTGCTGACTGCTAGCTCAGAGCCTGGAGCCTGTTTCAGTCTGACTCCCTCTCTCTCTGACCCTACTATTAATAATAATAATAATAATAATAATAATAATGACAACATTTGGCAACTTAGAGGGTACTATTGGAGCCAGGTGACAGTATCGGGGGGAAAAATGGGAGATAGCCAATGTGCTTTACTCTCCAAGGAGTCTGGCTGAGAAGAGAAGTGAGAGAGGATAGATGCGGGGGGGCGGGGGCAGGTCATGGTCAGGAAAAGATCTCTGATGGGAAGAATGGAGTAAATGTATGGGCAAGGCAAAAGGAAGGTATGGAGAAGAGAAGGAAAAGGAACAAATGCTTAGAGTGCCTGATCTGTGCCAGGCTCTATGCTAGGCTCCTTAATAAATACAACCCTTTAAGAGGATTAATATTCCCATTTTGCGGTTGAAGAAACTAAATGTCTGAATTTAAATCATTGGCCCATAGCAACTAGTGAGTAGTAGAGGAGGGATTTAAATCCCAGCCTCCAAAGTCAGTTCACATGGAAATGGCTGGAAATAACCATTATGAGAATTACACTGTCTTCCCTCCATAGAGAATGAAGACCAGGACACTGCAGCCCTGTTAAGTAGTTAGAAGGACCCAGGGCTATGGTATATCTTGTACATAGGGAAGCTTTATGGGAACTGATTGAATCAGAAACAAGACAGAAGACAGGAGAATACCCTGAGACTCTAGATGCTCACCGGGACTTCTGCAGCCATGCCTTTGGTCTCTGATCTACATTGACCAAAAATAATAAATAGTCAGAGTTGAAATGCACATACATCCAATTAGGAGTGAACAGGGGTTGATTTAAAAGATTGCTGGACTGCAGCAGGAGCTCTGAGGAAAGTCAACCAACTTAGTGCAGAAGTGATCATCATCTTGTGATGAGACATGATACAATGTGTCACCTAGATTCCCTAATCTTGACTCTGCCCCTTGGTAATTCTGTGACCATCTGCAATTCATCTATCTGAGCCCCCGTTTGCTCACCAAGTGAAAATATTCACAGTATTGCCCTCATTGTCATTGGGTAGGGGTTAAATGAGTTAGTATGTGTCCAGTACCTAGACAAGTGCCAGACGTGTGCTGAGTTTTAAATTTTTATAACTGTTCTGGGGTGCCAAAATTCCTACATTGAAGAACACACAGTGGGGAAGAGAGTCAGATACACATGTTCTTAATGGAATGGTTTGTTGAGGACTCAGGCACACACAAAGCTTGTCAGGTTCCAGCAGAGCTCAGCAATCTGGGAGCAGAGGCAAAGAAAGCTGAGTTGGGGATGAGCCAAGATGGGAAGGCAGCAAGGAAGCACCCAGGGAAGAATAAAGGGATCCATGAGCACTCTGGAAACGGCAGGCCCAGTAGGTCCAAACTGGATATGGAGGAAGTGGGAGATTCTAGGGAGGGTGGAGGAAGAAACACCTTGACGAGTAGAAGGAAGTCGGTTAGGTTGTGGTCCAAGTAGGGCTGTGGGAATTTGAGATGACAGGGGCCATTCTGGTGCCTGTATCCAAATCATGTTCATCACTGTGACTCATAGGTTGGGCAGAATTTAGTCATGTGTAGTTTTTCAAAATGATGGTGAACCCAGGGTATCTGGAGGGTCCCCCTCACCTCACAGGGATGAAGTGGCCAAGAAAGCTGTAAGGCAGGCATTAAGCCACTAAAGAGGAAACAAGAGTGCTGGAAATCAGAATACAGTTGAATGGATAAGTGACCAGTAAGATGGGATGTTGTGCCCAAGAGGGATGGGGGAGCATAGTCTGCGGAAAAAAATCAGAACTCAGAGAATGCCAAGTTGTTCTCTCGACCTTGAAACCAGGGGAGGGAGAGAAGCTGCCCTCTCTGGAGAGGGCTGGAGGGCAAACTAGGGCAGGTATTCATTTAAGATAAGAAGGTGGAAAGAGTGTGTATTGAAAAGGTGGGGAAGGTAAGGAAGTATGTTCACCGGTTAACATGCTGTACAGTCCAGGGGCAAGGAGACACATGTTCAAAGGCCTAGAAACAGTTTAGTAAAGCTGCCTGTGGTAGGATTACTGCCTGGCAGGAGGTGAGACATGATCAGAGGCCCGGTCATGTCCCCGTGCAGCTCTGCCTGGGCCCACCACCCCAGGACAGGACCCTGCCAGAGGAAAGAACCCTGGCCTCCTGGGTCAGTGCACTCAGCCTATTTCTGTACATTCAGGTTGCTGAGTAATGGCTCCAAAGGCAGTGCCAGCATCTCACAGGGCACAAGGGGAAAGTGAGAAGTAGGGCTTGGCACCTTATTTTGGGACCTGCCGTCACAGGCCCAGCCCTCTAGTTCTGTAATGCCTGACACTCAGCTACAGCTCTCACTGTGAGCCTGGATGACCAGCCCCACAGGTCTGGCTGAAATGCCTAGGGACCCCTCAAGAAAGAAGAGCTCTGCAGTTTCCCCAAAGATAGAGAATTCTGAGTACTTACTTCCTGAAGAATTGCCAGTTATTCCAATTGGTCAACGCACTAGGCTAGTGCCTCAGCGTAAAGGCACTAGTGAATCCTGTCTTCTCTCCCTGATCATATGGTCTTTTAAACTTACTATGAAGTGACAATGACACTGCTCCAAACCTGAGGTATCAAGGTGTGTGGTTTGAGCCAGAGTGTTCTTTGAGCAAGATCCCCAGCCAGTCCCCTGTATGTCCCTGGTGATATACATGTGCGACTGCTGGCTGGGGCTAGGGCTCAGTCTAATGTGGGGACAGTGACATATACACAGATATCAAACTGTGATCCCATGAGCACAGGGCTCTAGTAACTTGCACTAGCTGGCCCTGAGAGCCCTTGGGACAAGCCTTTGGGTTAGTTACTGCTGAACAGATAGGTCCAAAGACTCTGTCCTGGGGATACTTGTGGCTCCTTAATTGTAAATCTGGTTGCCAAAAACCCTCCAACCTCCCTTAGATCCATTCAAGGCCCCCCAGTCT